CCTACGGTCTACATCCAGAGCAGATCTTAACCCTAGTGTCGGACGAGGCGAAAGACGGAGAGATAGCCCCATCGAAGAGTCCGCTCGATCTTCACTGGCACAGTCGAAGTCTGCGGTTGAATCCAATGGACTTGGTCGGTCAGACTCCAATGGTATCGCTCGCTCTAACAGCAAGACGGCTGGTAGCAGGGCACGCTCTAGCTTGGGGCTCAGTCCTTTATTCCACACAGAGGATGCCTCCAAGCTTCTACCTAGAACCTCATTGACCGAGGTTAACACTGACTTGCGTCTCATGCTGACCAACCTGGTCAACCATGCACCAAGTAGGCGCAGAGGGGGAGCGCGAAAACAGCCTCATGCCTACGTCATCAAATGGGTCGACTACACCAACCGTTATGGTATTGGGTATGTTCTGGATGATGGCAGCGTCGGATGTGTTTTCAAGGGAGAAAATGGGCAACCGGCGACAAGTGTCGTGGTTCGAGATGGCGAGAGACACATCCGCCGAAAAGCGCGTAGCGTCGCGGATGGCAAACAACAACCGATTTACTACTCCGAGGCTGATCAATTAGTTCCACGCACTGGAAACTTGGTTGAGTTTTATGAGAACCGTGACGATGAATTGCTAGGATGCCGCGGCATCCGACGAGCATTAATCCCGCCCTCACTGTTCGATGTTAAAACCTCCAAGGCGATGAGACTTCGCTCCAACACAGGAAGCGAGGTTGAACGAGCCGATGCAGAGAAGATCAAGCGCATGAAACTCGTGGATCAGTTCGGTAAATACATGATCGGAGCGCTTGGTCGACATGGTGACGAAGGCATCATGGACGAAGACCTGCCCGAACACAACAGCGCCCAGTTTGTCAAGTTCTACCAGCGGCTGGGTAATGTTGGTATCTGGGGTTTTGGAGACGGAGCCTTCCAATTCAACTTCCCTGATCACACAAAGCTAGTGATCTCGCCCGGCCGCACCCGTAGCTCATCCCCCTGGATCGACTTCTACCATCTCTCGTCCTCCGCCGCTCGATTCTTCGCCGCGAAAGGCAAAATGCACCCAGCAGGATTTGACACTCGCGCCGTGGCCTCCGACGAGGCTGCCACGTTCCTCAGCATCGCGAACGGAGATTCCATCAATTCTACCGAAGACCGTATCCGGGATATCCTTGATGCGAACTCCTTCATCCAGAAAATCGCCTTCATCAAAGATACCCTCAGAGTTTGGATTAAGTTCGGGCGACTTGGAGGTCGTCCACCGCCGATCGACTCTGCTTCTGCTGATGAATCTCTGCCCGACGAAGCGTTTTGGCAGGGAACGCAGGAGCGCTCGCAGCCCAATAGCCCTGGAACGAAGTTTGTCTGGGTGACTGTCGGAGCACCGGATGGCGATGGTCACTATCGGTCTATGATGCTTAAAGATAGTGACCGGGAGCGAAAGCACGTTCCAGCTGGGATGGAATATGACAAAGAAATGGATCTACTCAAAGACCGGCTACGTGCACTTGGTCGTTGATTGAATCTGCCTTTTCTCCTTCTGCTATTTATCATGTCCACTTTACGACGTCACGACTTTTTTCTTGTTTCTGGTGTTATACTTCATGTTTATTGTCGTGATACGAGATCACGAATGTTACAAGTCCACATCCCAAGCTGTCAATAATCTTTGCTGAACACCGTTTTTGTTTCTTTCGGCTACTTGCAGCAATGTACATGCCACACTCTCTCTCGTGTCACTGCCCTATGTGGTGGCCCTCGACCTTGCCACCCCGTACGCTTAACCCCCTTCCTATAGTCGGCATTATGCGTATTGTACTGATCGAAATCCTCTGATGTTCCATCCATCCCTACGGTCCAGTAAAATTGCTGCAGTGGTGCGGAGTGGTAATATCTGTAATATCCCTAAAAAGAGTTCTGTGGCCAAACAACAGTGCACAATTGCATCGTTGGTTTCACGAACTCTCATAAAACCATAAATTACATATAGGTACACTCTCACCTATGCCCCTCTAAGACTTTGATTGAAGTTGGACTGTGATTAAGAGAACCTAAATGGAGACCGCAGTTATCAACATCAGTGAATGTAATTATTTTGTACATTATAGACCTTCCTCCATGAATCCTGTCGGGGGAGAACATCCACTACCACGCCCAAGGTCGAGGCTCCGTGACAACTCTCCGGTGTGTCCGCATCTCCAAATCCTTCAAACTGTTAATAGACTCATCATCATCATCAAGAAGACCTTGGTTCGTCTCCAATGCACGGTCAAGATCATAATGTTCAGTCAAGAGGCTGACCAACATTGCCACAGCAGACACCCCACAGCAAACTATCCACACTGTGCGCAAACTGTCCGTATACGCTTCCTTCAGATTTGCCTTGTCAGTGCCATCCGCCATCGCCTTGATGACTTGGACCAAGCCCGCGGCATCCTTGCTGTACGCCTCAGCCATAGGAGCCAAAGCAGTATACCGAGAGATATTGGTAAACATGCGGTTCTGGAAGACAACGCCACCGACAGCAACGCCAATCGCTTGACCAAGAGCACGGAAGAAACTAAACATGGCAACTGCAATAGCGAGATTCTCTGGGTCCGCCGAAGCCTGCACTGCATACCCAAGAGATGGGAAGAGAATACCCAATCCAAGGCCGGGCACAATGTTGAGAAAGATCCAACCGACCATGCTGGTATCCACCTTGATCAGACACATCAAACCCAGTCCGACAGTTGAAAAGGCCCATCCAAGCCAGATAGCCCATCGGTAACTGCCAGTTACCGTGATCAGGACACCAGCCACCATTCCACTCGGAGCCACTGTGAATGTCTCGGGGAATAAAGCAACGCCCGAGATAATAGGGCTATACTCCTTCACTGCCTCATAATACAAAGGGAGGTAATAGAGGGCACACCATAGGATCAAGCCCTGCAAAACACTCCCAATGAACGAGGCTACTGCTGTTCGGTTCTGGAATATCACTGGCGGAACAATCGGATCGGTGGCGAAGTAAGTCTCGTAGAATCCAAAAATGATCAGCCCGACTCCTCCTATGCAAAGAGGTACAAGGGTGTGCCACGAGCTCCAGTCGTATGAAATGCCGCCCCAGCTGAGGGGAATCAAGAAGGACGACATGCTTCCAACGAATAGGACGGTGCCGAAATAATCGATCTGACGGAGCTTCTCGACTAATGAACTGGGGGCAAGCTTAAGGTTCAAGAATAGGATCACGAGAATTCCGCCAACTCCGATAAAGGGGAAGTTGATATGGAAGATCCATCTCTTCTCATAGTTAGCATGGGTAATTGCGGGTTCACCTTGGACCAACTTACCCAAGACACATTTTCGGAGAATCCACCACCAAGAATAGGACCCGTCACGGACCCAACACTCCACATTGCACTGAGGATACCGAAGTATTGACCACGCCATCGTAGAGGGACAAGATCTGTTATGATGACCTCACTTAGGGATATAATGCCACCTCCACCAACACCTTGGATTGATCGGCCGATCAGCATGTAAGTAAAGTTATTGGCGATTGCTGCAATTATAGCGCCGACACAGAAGAACATGAGCGAGATCATGATCATAGGTCGGCGGCCGAAAATATTCGACAAGGAGGCGAAGCTTGGTTGGAATACTATACCAGTGTTAAATTGGTTGATCGTTACCGTTGCAAAAACATAACACCACTTACCTGTTGAGCATAGCAGGAACGAAGTTCCACTCCAGAATGCTTCGATGGCCGTTCCATTGAGTTCTTTGGCAATTTCCTGGGACAGATAAGTATTGGGACCTCAAATACCTTTGTTCAAACACTCACAGGTAAAGCGACAGATAGCGAAGTGCCATCCAAAGCGGCCATTAACGTGAGAACAGATAAAGTAAAGAAGACTAGGATTCCCCTTCGACCCAGAGCAAATTTCTCCTCGTCGACCTTTCTTCTCCGTTTCACCACTGTTGATGCTCTGCTCATGGTATCGTCATATTCGGTCCTTCCGGGTCTATAAAATGGGAAATCTGCGTCCGCCATGGCGAAGATCAACGATAGCGATTGACGATCTAGCAGTGAGAATATGAGTGAAAAGTCGATAATTGAGCTCACTGGTTGTAGAGCCTCTATTAGAGAATAAAAGCGGAAATTGAAATGGGCATCCGCATTGTAGATAGATAAATAACTAGTTATCTAGTATAACACATATCCTTCCACGCTCTCCACGCGGAGTTGACAACATGCCATGTAAGTTTAGAACAGGACGAAATATTGCACCTTCGCGATTCAAAAAACCCGACTCCGCTGGATATAACCTGAAATCTTATGTTATACAAGGTGAGATTAATCTAAAGGGTCTCCGATATAGCCTTAGTTCCGGTTCAAATACGACTGCAGCAGCCAGTTGGGTTGCTAAGAGTCGGCACAATTCCTCGCCGTCTCACCAGTCGGGGCCGGGTAGTTGCATGGATTTCATGAATTTCGTGATGATTTATTATTTATTCATATTTTGGTATTAGGCAGCTCTCTAGTCGGGATTTTGATGGCCTAGGCTGATTTCCGTGGCATCTTAATTGCGCCTATCTATCAGTACATCGGTTGACGCCATTTGAGACTGCAATACGTTGCTACGCCTTGTGATATCATGACCCTGAAGTTTGAATATGACAAGTCTCGAGGGATTGGGCCGGCGGCTCCCAAAATAACCCACCTTTACACTCGTACCACGCGAATAGGCCATAATGCTTGGTTGTCGCAAGTGTTGAAACATGTCTCTTTTCTGAAGATGTGGCATTCAGGCGAGCTTGAAATATCCCTAGTCAACATTTAAATAGCTGGACCTCGCATCGAATTCCCATTCTCAAATGATCGGGAGTATAAGACCCAGCAATGGCTCTCGGGGTCACCCCGCATTTCCTCAAGTCAAACCCACCAATACTAGTCAATGCATTCATTCTCTTGAAACCACAACAAGTCATTTCAAAAACCTACTCAGCTCTCATCTCATATCTTAGGAGGCATTTTGTAGTCGCTGCCACTCGACGCGAACAATCCCCGGTAGTTCATCCAATAGACTGGGCCGTGAAGGATTCCATGCCAGGATCTCGCGTGCCCGCTGTGCGCGACCACGAGAGTTCATCCCCCAACTGAGAGATTCATATCCTGCATGTTTCTTGGCGCTCTCGGGGTCGAGTGGCTCGGTTTTCGCCTCGGGAAGGTACCCCAGTTTCGCGGCTGCCTCTACTGTAGCTTGAGCTAGCTCACCCCAGCAGTGTTCGCCGTTCTCGGCAAAGTAGTAAGCCCTAGGACCCCAGAGCCCGTCATCAGTTCGGCCTGCAATGGCCGCGTCGATGAGCAGAGCATAGACATCAGTCAGGTCGTGGATGTGGACGTGATTTGAAATTGACTGGCCGGCGCCGATTATCGGTCCCTTCTGGCGACATAGTGTCATGTTCGCTAAAACGTATACCTGGCGCGAATGTTGGTTAATTGGACCACGTCCTTTGCCTGCTAAAAGTTTAGTAGATTTTTTTTATCTTGTGTACATATTGGTAAATGCGTACCGTAGATAGTAGGCGGACAAACGAGTGCCGTCTTGAGCACATCGGCGTGCTGGGTTCCAGCTTCGAGGACGAGCTGGTCAACATTCCGGTGAAATGCGTGGTCTGGCAGATTGAGTAATTCATCCACTCCATCCCAGTCATTGTACACATGCTCGCTTTTATTTCCGTATTCGTTCTTGTCGCTGTCCTCCCATGTCAGGATGCCGGTTCCCCCGGTATGTAGCAAGTAGCCTGGAGTTTCCTTGGTATGACCGGCTACCAGACCGGCAATTATGGCTTTTGCGGCTCCCACGTGGTCTGACGAATCTGCAGTGTCTTTTTTGTAGGGGTAAGTAGTGCCCATATAGTATTATGCTCGTCTAGCGTTGAGTTGGATACTTACGCAGCACGATGTCTGCGGCGGCACTTTCTCGCTCCAGCAAGGCTGAGTCGTCCAGGTCTCCGATTACGATGCGGACAAATGGGTATTGGGCTGTCACCTGTTCTGCCCTTTCGGTGGTGCGAACAACAGCGCAATATGAGAACTCCGGGTGGTTGGCAACAAGCGTGGCTAGGCAGTCGCCACCGACGTAACCCGTGACACCGGTGCTGAGGGTTTGTTAGAGCAATATTTTCTAAATCAAGACCCGAGCCTTACATGAATAATTTGGTCATTTTGCGTAGACTCAAAGGGACGAAAGTTTAGAAATGATCCTGTTCGACGTTTTAGATAGTACTAATATTAAAGGTGAGTACATTCCTTATACCTTAACCCCGCACTTTTCCAAGTTCCAAGTTTGGAATACCTGTATTTATAAGCAGGAATTATAGGTAGGTGGCTAAGGGGCGAGAAGGATGAAGATATACAGCATAATTGCGACAAAATATAATGACAGACTTTAGCCGAGTGGTCCTTATATTTAGTCGAGACATTCTTTTCTGTCGTTTTCTCGCTTCATGGCACATATATGTATCTTGCCTAATATAACGGAGTCGGGCGCACCTCCGCTGTTAAGTCGCTTGGCTGCTTTGCTGGGTTTCCCTAATATTGTCCCTGGTGGATTGGTGGCTGAGGTTTCTATTACACCCTACTTTCATTTGCGCTTTGCATATAAACTGGTATTGTTGTAAAATATTAGTATAGGTGCTCTTATATTCGGTATACTATACGAATACGAATGGAATATAACTATTGGCTACTAAAATATACTAAACGGCCTCGCCCCACATAGTATTGTATCTATTTTGGCTCACATTATTGAATCAGGGCCTTGTTAGTCGACCTGAATGCATATAGATTTTGCTTTTGCGTGGCAAATCTGGGAGAATTCTCGTAGATTACCTTCGTAGTCTTATACATGGGGTAGCAAAAGTTTGTCCACACTCCAGTTTTAGCCCTAATATATATATATATCTACTACCATAAATATGCATTTTTCTCCACAAATACAATTGATATTAATTCCTAATCATACATATATGAAGATCAGATCAATACTTAGTGTACCATCCCTTTGCTTTCTTCACCGCCTAGATCCTACGTGGCATAGATAGGAGGATACTGTCGATCTTCTCCTAATCAAGGGCCCGCCATGCTTCAACAATTGCTCCACGGAACGTGTCCCAATCAAGCTAAGATCGACCATGCTGGGCTAGCTGGGGATAAAGCTTATATAGCTTATGTTTGAGTATAAACTATATAGCCTCGATAGGGTTGAGATCCGGAGAATATAGTAGCCAATCTATAAGAAGGATACCTTGTTCCTTAAGGAATTCTTTCGTCAATTATATAGTATAAATCGGCGCGTTATCTTACTAGAAGATTATAGTATATTTGTAGATTAGTAAGAGCCCTTTTTCGAGTATTTTAATATATATCTTAGCCGTAAATCTACGTCCTAGTTACTTTTCTATAATAATAAGATCTAAACGGCCTCTAAGCTATATAGTACCCTAGATTATTTGCGAAATTTACTTTCCTTTAGCTTATAGGTTAATAAACTTAGGTAGAAGCTACTTAGATTTTAACCGGAAGACGTATTAATCGATAGAATTGGACTTTCGTTAGATAGAGTATTCGTTAGAAAAAATGATAGACTTTTAGTTCCGAAATTTCTCCTATTTTCGTACCTAGGCGCGGCGACGCTTTACGTCTAAAGGCTTTAGATAAATCCGCTTCTTTAACTTCTATTTTTAAATCCTATATCTCTTTAACGCGCGTTGAATAGTCTATTTAGAGACGTTATATAGAATCTAATTAATTAACTCCTTCTACGAGATTATAGGAAAGCGACGAATAAGCCGAAAAATGTAACGGATAGCGGTAGTTATAAGCTTCTTTAGGCTACCTTTTCGGGGTAAAGAAATAAGGGTTTTATTATTTTTCTAACGGTTCAATATCCTATAAACCGTGGTTCGATCAATCTCAAAGTCACGTGCGATCTAGGCGGGTTTTTAGCCCTTTTCTACGGCGTAAATGATAGCGGCGCGCGTAGATTCGGATAATTCACCTCCGCGCGGTCGATTTCCACTAATTTGCGTACCGAAAGCTCTCATTTTCGTGGTGTTATGGTGAATGTTATGTTTGGATGAAAAGTGGTTGGGGTTAAATTTTAAAAGTGTGGACAAACTTTTGCTACCCCATGTATTTAGTTAATCACCCACCCTATTCAATCAATTCATTGATTCTCCCGATTTCGATTTCAGAACACGATGGATGAAAGACTGTTAAGAAACCCGAATGCAATGGAAATCGACAATATTAGTATTGCTAAATCTTCATTATCCAATGACCGGGTCCGCACCTCCAGTCACTTCGATTATAATTTCTTGGGAGTTTGTCACTAACGTCCATTGCAGACGACCGTCTCCCAGAACACGGTCGAGACTATTCCAGAAGCCTCATGGCAAGGGAAATGCCACGACTTCTTTCGATGGACGTGTACGCCATTAGGAGCTTGCATCACAATCTACGGTCTGAACGTGGTCGCATGGGGCGGGATGCTCTTCCTCTTGATGTGCAACGCAGCGCCCGCAATGTGTCATCCAAGTTGCGATAGCCTGGACTCATCACGTCGCATTTGGATTGAAATCGATTCCCAAATCTTGAATGCCCTATTTTGCGTCACGGGATTTGGATTAGCCCCGTGGCGTATCCGTGATCTTTACCAGTGGTATTTCTGGCGATTGGGCTGGTCGGAAGGTAGTCGACGGAAAGGGCTCGATCGCCTGGCTGAGATTCATAAGAACTGGTTCTTGATAGCTCAAGAGCCGAGTGTGCTTCCTATAAAAGCTCAACAACATTATCCATTGATTGAACAGGCTACGCCTACCCAGTCGTGGAAAATGGATGTTGTGGTGTGGGGGAATATCCTTAATACTGTCTTTCAGATTTGCTTGGCTGTTTGCATGTGGGCATGGAATCGCTTCGACCGACCGAGTTGGACAACTGGTCTATTTGTCGGTCTTGCTTGTGTTGTTGCTGGAGTTCCTGGGATTTTGATGTGGTTGGAGAAGAAACGCCTCAAGAAAGCCAGTGAGCACCCCGGTGCTCTTCTTTTGATTCCTCGAGCTACACAACCAGTGCTTCCAAGTGGAGGAAGTGGCGATTTTAGCTATGTAAATTCGGAATCATGTGTTGCTATACCGTGACTAGTGGAACATTGATATAATTATCTGGATATTGTCAGAAAGTTTGGATTTTCGGTTGATTTAGTGAAATTTCGTTTGACGATTGAAATGAACATAGATTTTAATAACAACTCTGCGTTCGTATCACCTAGAAAGCTAGCTATTTGCACTATTCTCCATAGTAGCTTTGGTAGCTTGAGCATCGGAATCATCTTGTCGAATTCGACTCTGCCTGAAACTATGAAAGTGAAAAGATTGAAGGTAAATATCCAAGCCAAGTCTATCTACGCATCCGATGACAATAAAAATCTATCAAATGCCTGCAGAATCTGACGCCGCTCTTCATCGGTCATCTGCATCCTGGTCGTTTCATAATACCCACTCTTTAGCCGCGCACTCACAATGGCCTTGCGACTTTGTGAACGAAACGCCCCCTCAATACTTTTAGTAATTCCTTGGAAAGGATAAGCCACCAGTCCGATGCCCGCTAAACACACGGCTAAGTTAGCTCTGCTCACCTTCATGGATTGAGATAATTGCTTACCAGAGGGGACCTTGGTTGCAAGTCCAATAGTGCCTTTTGCAAACCCCTTGACTGCACCTAAAGCACCTTCATCTCTTGCTCCATTGACGGGCTGTGTAAAGAAGCCGCTAAACCCATCACTCATACCATCCACGAAATTCCTTCCACCCATGATAGCTCCGGATTTCCAACCCTGGATCGCGCCGTAATCCTTGGGCGTTTCCCCATACAGCCGAGGAACCTGTCGGAATCCTTCAGCGGCAGCATGTGGAATATCAACTACTACTCCTTTGAAGTATGATCCGGTGAATTTGCCAAATCCTTTCATTGTCGCGCCTGCCATGCTGCCTGCGACGGATAGCCCACTTCTGCTTTTCTCGAGCCCACTTTCGGACCCTGGCCCAACGGATGGTGTCCGAGAACTATTCAGATTCTCTTCACCGGCAGTGGATATTCTTGTTGACGAGGGTTCTCGTGAAAGTGGGCTGCCAGGGAGCGTCGGGGCTTGCAAGGCTCTCGGTGATGCTTTTGGTGAACGACCGCGTTTGTATTCTTTGTATGGGTTGTAAATCATATCGGCGGTCGAGCCCAGCATAGTTGACCCGGTTGTGGTGGCTGCAGCAAAGATTCCGGTTACGGGATCCCAGCGGCGATGTTCAATAACGATTGGATTGACGAGATGACTGAGCCATCGGTTAGCAGGTTTATGTACTAGCTCGAGGGGGGTACATACAACTGAAGACGCTTTTCATCTATCTTTTGATGTTCAATCAAGATTTGAACCGCTGCGTTTGACAGTGTCACGTTTCCCTTGCCCTTTTTGTATTTCCAAACTGCAACCTGGAGGGGCATTAAATTGCATTTCATCTTGTCCAGGGGAAGATTTTTGTGGAAAGATTCCACGGCTGCGGCCACACCCGATTCAGTCTGCATCTTGACGGCCAGCTTACTTGCGGCTTCTGTTGCCTCTGGAGTAAGGCAGAACTTGATAGCAGCGGTCAAGTTCTGAAAGTTGAGAGATGCAAATGGAATAGGTCTAGGTCCAGCACCAGCTCGAGCAACCATGTTGCCCCAAAAAGGTTGACTAGGAGAATCAGTATTGATGGAAACTCGCAGGTCAAAGATGGGTCAATTGAAAAAGTGCAACTCACTCGCCGAAAAAAGGCACGATGGCAGTTGGTCGACCATTTCTGAGGCCACACGAAGTAGTTCCAGCGCCTCCGTGGTGAATTACTGCGCTGACATGTTGAAAGAGCCACTCATGTGGACAGTCGTCAATATAGTAAATATTCGCGTTTGGACTTCCAACTAGCCCACTCCAACCCTTTGAGATGATTGCACGTGTACCTGCCTTTACCACCGCAAGAACGACAGTGTCTATCAGCTTTTGAGGGTCATCAACCACAATACTACCAAAGCCAATATAGACAGGGGGTGGGCCGGCTTGTAGAAACTCCCTCAGCTCCGAGGGTGGGGAATACGATGGGGGATCTCTAAAGAAAAATCCACAGACATCTAATTCATTAGCCTTTCATCATTACAACAGGAAGCCAAAGTGATGACATACCAATGTGACTTGGCCAATCCTGTGGTTTTGGCACAAGCGCTGGAGACCAACAATATGTGTAAGGTACTTTCAATGTTTCGGCGAGGCTGGGCCCTTCCGTTGCGGGAATAGGTTCCAGATCTATTGAGACCCGCCATCGATTGATCACATCTCCTAGTCTGGATTCTGATGTTAGTCGCTTCCCGTGTTACTCCATGGGTCACTTTACCCTTGCCATGTCAACCACTCAACAACCCCGTAGGAAACCCAATTTGCAGTGCGAGGATCCATAGAAGAGGAATTTAGATTAGCGAGAGGATGTGGAAACGCCTTGGTACTGCTCCACGGCATCGTAAACATCAGATGGACTGGAATGCTTAGGGCCTGTGCACAATGAACGTGTGCAAAGCTAGGAGGGTTAGCAATGATGGCGTCTGCAACAAATGGCTGTTTGGTGATTGGATCATCTTCAATGCATGATCTCCAGCACCCCTCGAGCATTGTGGCTACCATAGCCTGTTTTCTTTGCACTTCCCCTGCGCGCAGTGTCTTCATCTGTGGAATCAATCCGGGGTTCTTGACCATGAATGCCATCAATTCTGCAGGATCTCCACCGATGGGGTAGAACTCTAATCCTGACTCGTGTACGAACTTTGCAAAGACATCATGTGTGGCTATTCGCACCCGATGACCATGCTTTTGTAGTGCATTTCCGAGCGCGATGAAAGGTTGCACATCCCCACGGCTTCCCACAATTTGAATGACAATGTTGAGCTTGAACTCGCATGACGTCACTTGCTTGGTAGGGCTGATATAGTCGGGAGGTGGATTGTGGATGTCTTCTTGCTGTAGGTCGATGATTTTGGCGAGGGTTCTCGCAATCTTGGATTCGAGGTTCACATTAATGCGGCCGTCCCCTAGAACGAGTATTAGAATGGGCCGACAAATCACCATCACTGTGGCTCGACGGAACCTTGAACGTTTCCTGATTCTGCCACGAGTCCACCATCGTCAACCAACGAATATACAGGAGGTGCGGACTCTTCCGCTTGTTCTTTCCCGGTCCCGGAATCTGTAGAGGAACCCATTTTCAACGTTGGTGAAAGATCTGGAGATCTGGAAATCTGGAAATCTGGGAAAGTTAAACAAGAAGAGGCAAGTTAAGCTAATCTCGTACTCGTACCCTTCGGCAGATTGGGACTAGTGGATCTTAATTAAGGGTTTGTTTGTGGGTCCGTGCGTTGCCACTAGCGCCCTTTTGGTATCCACTCCCCCTATTTTAAACTTTCTGATTTTCGCTAACTTTCAGGCAGCAAAGTTTAAAAAATAAGCCTATATTAGGGAGTTTATTAGCGATATCACCATGAGATGGGGAAAGGACATGAAGATCCTGATGAATTTCGCGCAATTGTGCGGACCACGTATAAAACTATTATTAACTAGTGAGACCTGAGCTTTGCATTCTTCCCTTTTGAGCTTTATTTATATTTAGAAATGTAGTCAGGTCAGGGTTCCTTGATGCTTGGGTTGAATTTCGAGGTTATAACCTTGGAACCTTGGAAGTCTGTGGCAAATCCCACTACATCCAGTCTTTCGAAACCTGTGTTAGCACGTACAACATAATTGGATTTCATACATTCATATTTCTGCAGAGTGAGATCTTCTATTTGATGTAATTCCGCCTTCAAGTAGTGTTTGTAGAATTGTAATTTGAGAAGGACATATCGGAGATGGAATGTTCTATTGAACACTGTTGGATTATAGGAACAAGTTACGAGCATGAGACAATTGTACAACGTATATTTGAAGAAACGACAAATCTTTCTAATGGGAAAGTCGAACGGAGTATAGAAAGTGAGCAGAGGTGGGGAAATTACAACCCATTCCACCACGTAGTTTGTCCGATCTCAAAGTCGGCTGATAGTGGATTTTCAGCGCTAGAGGTTCCAACTTGAACGATGTAACGACCGGCCTCTTGAACCCACGCGTTTCTATGCTCATCTCAGAAACTGGTCGCATATTTAGTGAGGATCTTGACAGTCACCGTCTCGGTCTGGTGTGGGCGGAGGAACACCTTTTCAAAGCCTTTGAGTTCCTTGGGTGGTCGATTGATACTCGGACTCTGCTGGGAAACATAGACCTGGACAACTTCCGCCCCATCAACGCTTCCAGTGTTCTGGACATCAACAGTGATGAAAATCTCCTCGTCGGTCTTTTGGAGAGAAACCGAGCTTAACTTGAACGTGGTGTAGCTCAGTCCATGGCCAAATGGAAACGCAACGTCCTTCTTGCATTTCTCATAGAAGCGGTACCCGATATAGACACCTTCACCGTACTTGGTACTACCTCTTTCACTTCGGAAGTTCAAAAAGGCCGGGTTATCTTCATTGCGGCGCGGAAAGCTAAGCGGCAGCTTGCCACTCGGATTCACCGCACCAAAGACAACGTCCGCAATTGCATTCCCAGTCTCGTTACCGCCGTACCAGGCGTGAACCAACGACGAGACATCATTGAGCCAGGGCATGGTTACGGGAGTTCCGGACTGTATGATCACAGCTGTGTTGGGATTTGCCGCTACCACCGCAGCGATGAGCTTGTCGGTCCCCGGTGGTAGGTCCATAGTACTCCGATCATATCCCTCGCTTTCCCAGTCGCTGTTCAACCCGGCGCATAGAATGACCTGATCGACCTTCTTGGCCAATGCAACTGCCTTGTGGATTTCGGTCTCGATCTCGATCTTTTGAATACCACCAGCTCGAAGACCACCCGCGCCAAACGAGGTAGCTCCTGCGACATTGAAGGTTCTGGTCGGCAGTGTACCGAAAGTGATTTGGATTCTGTAGGTCTTGCCCTTATCCAATCTGATGGTTCCAATTTCTTCCACTGTTCCGGAGCCAAAGAAGCTATCACCAGGGGTCTGCACGGTTTCGTTGTCGATAATACACTGGCCATCAACAAAGATTTTGCCGGTACCGGATACCGAAAGACTAAATTGATAATCTGAATTCTCTTCTGGTGTGATTGTGCCATCAAGCTCCAGGTAGAACAGATTGGTCTCGATTTTAGGGTGTCTGTAATCTGCAAGGAAAATGTCTGCTGTATTGACATACAGTGAGTCGACCATTTCCCGATCCTTCTTTGACGGTGGCTCGAGGTAGACCTTCATATCAAACCCTTCCAGGCCGTTTCTTGCTTTGGTCAGCCGAGATAGAAGAGGCATTTTCTTCCAACCTGGAACTCCCAAAGCATATTGAATATCCGGGACTTGTGCCCTCAGTCCATCGAGAGGGCTAATCGCATAATAAGGCTTGAGTGCTGCGGAACCACCACCGCAATAAGCTGCAAAATTGGCGTTTGGGCCGATAACAGCTGTAGTCTTGTTCTTCTTGAACGGTAAAATGTCGTGATCATTCTTGAGCAACACCAAACTTGCTGAAGCCAGAGAACGAAGCAACGATGATGTCTCGGGTGTATCCGCAGTCAGCTCTTCGGCGTTTTCTGAAATTCCAAGAGGGAGCAATTTCTTCACAACCTTCAATACCTCTCTTACGCATTGGTCAAGTTCAAAGGGTAGTAATTTACCACATCCCAGAGCTTGCTTCACTAGTTTACCACGCATGTATGAGGGCCCTGGCATTTCCAAGTCAAGGCCAGCTTGAATTGACTCAGCAGTGGAATAAACTCCAAACCTAAGTCCAGTCAGCCCATATTCAGATTTCGCACCGTTGCCTCGATCATAGATATATATACGCACCAATCTGACATGACCATCCCATCGAATCCCCATTCCTCCCTTAGGATACTTTTGATGAGTGGCTTGCTCTCACTTGCATGTGTTGCGTTGACTTTGTTGTACGCTGTCATGTAACACATGGGCTTTGCGTCTCTTTGCGCGATCTGGAAGGGCATAAGATAAATCTCCCGCAAAGCCTGCTCCGATACAACAGCATCAACAGACTGTCGCTCATGCTCCTGGTCATTGCAAACAAAATGCTTTAGGGTAGCTGCTACACCAGTAGACTGGATACCGGCGATGGTTGCAGCACTCATGTTCCCAGCCAAAACTGGGTCCTCACTGAAAGACTCGAAACCCCTGCCACCCAAGGGAGATCGTTGCATATTGGTTGTCGGTCCCAGTATAATCGATGCTCCTTTGGCAATGGCCTCCTGGCCTTGTAACTGGCCACCTTTCTGGACTAGTTTGGTGTCCCAGGTAGCCGCAAGTCCGGTTCCTAGTTGTCAATTAGCAATTGCACCGAACAACACTGAGATGGACACTCACCGCATGGGAAGCAGGCCGCAGGAACACCGTTGAAAAACTTGGTTCCTCTCACGCCATTAGGTCCATCGGTTAGACGAATTGAAGGAATACCAAGGCGGCGTATGGGCGCAGTGTGCCAAGGGTCATTGCCGGAGATCAGAGCGATCTTCTCGTCAACAGTCAGTAGTGCTAGGGCCTGCTCCACGTCAAAGTCACAATGGACTGTTTTTTGAACATTCGAGTCATTCATAAATTGTCGGGTCATGATGAAGTTTCGAAGAGAAGTCGCGATGGATAATTTCTGGGTGGCGGGAAAGGAGAACGGTTATAAACGTAAGAAGTGCAGAAGCGTACATTATATCTGATAAATTGTACAGCAAACACTAGTTTGCAGGGTCTGAGGTTCTCTTCTCTTCCCACTTCAACTTCAGAGAGCAAGCAAGAGAGTATGGACCATGAAGGCAAGTAGGTCCACTCGGCATATCTCCCCCCGAACTCCCCCGGACCGGCTAAACCCGCGACTCCGCGAGGGGTCATTCACCCACATCACAGACATTCCTTTTTGCCAACGGGCTTTATATCTAACGTCCCGGGATTCCGCTGTCTTCTTAACTTGTTCGTGCATTGCATCTCGCACCCCACTTCCTCATCGTATATGGTTTGGATTGATTCGGACATCCCAAATACCCCCACCCCCCTATCCCCCAAAGAAATGCCGACAGAAGGAACATGCAACCCCCGGAAAAGACAGCGAGAGGAAAATAATGAAAGACCCTCGTACCCGCGGAAGCGGGCCACGCAAGCATGTCACACTTGTCGACGCAAACGAATCAAGTGCGATAATGAGAAGCCCGTGTGCGGCTCTTGTGTGGGATTGGGGATGCCGTGCATTTACCGAGAAAACGACAAATCAACGTAATCAATGAACTCGCGACTGAGAGAAATAAAATTCGCTAAGCAAATATGTTAGATTTGACCCAGCCAGCATTCTCATCTTGCAGCGCTTAGACACTCTGGAAGAGTTGGTCCGTGGATCCCCGTTGACTCTGGGGTCTCTACCTGCAACAGCGGGGCTATCTTTAGGGCAGGCTGTACTGAATAATCAGGAATCGCCGCCCACAGAAGGGAGACTGCAAGCGTTGGAGAGGACGAAATCATCCACATTGTATCATATCAATGTCGAGAGTATTTTGAGTTGGCCAGTCTTTCAATCTTGCAATCTTGCACAAAAACATGAATTAAGGGCTTTACTTAAACTACCAAGCGGAATCTCAGAACCAAAGTCTTTGCCTGTCTCTTTGGAGTTCGAAATTGGTGGAGCTAGACAGCTACTGCAACGCTTCGTCAGACACATTCATATCTACAACCCCGTCTTACAAATCGATAAAGTGCAGGAATATATGAGAGACACGCTTTTTAATGGTCTCGATTGGGATGCAAAGTCATGTCTACTTGTGAGTAAACGTGAAGGGATCTGTGATAGGCTCCGCTTACTCCCAACAGCTCTTGGTATATGCACTAGGGACTATCTCCGGTCCTCCTGAAAGCCAATCCTCATCTTCCTCCTTGGACGTCCGCCAATCAGAGGAATTCAAGAAGGCAGAGGCATACTTTCTTGCAGCCAGAAAGCGGATGGGTGTATTACTTGGTGAGAGCGGTATGATTGAAGCACAATGCTTCTTCCTTGCGGGTGTGTATTTGATGGCGACATTGCGACCATTTCAAGCTCGGCCGATGTTTGTCCAGGCTCTAGTCTGCTGTGAAGGGTTCCACATTCCGCTACCTCCAAGCGATCCCCATCACGATGAGAACCATACTCTGCAAGAAAGCATATATTGGACATGCTTTAAGTCGGAATTGTCAGTTTTCGCCTCTAGGAAAATCGAAACACCAGACTAACCATGTATTTACAGAGAACTTCGATTGGAACTGGGTCTTGGAAATACCTGCTTGGACCTAACATATCCCGCCCTCTTCCCTTCCCCTCCCAAAGATCTTGAAAGCCAGGGAGAGACCGTGTGGTATTTCTATCTAGCAGAGATAGCTCTCCGCCGGTTAGGAAACCGAGTTTTAAATTATATCTATAATTGCAAGCCGTTTGGAAAATCGGCCGACGTAGAGACGATTAGGGAGTTCGAAGGACAAGCACACGGGCTGTGAGTTTGGTCATATTTCCCATCTTCCGTCTTGATTTACTAATTTCCTCTTCCACCTAGACTAAACTCGCTTCCAGCACCGCTAAAACCCGATACGCCGGGCGAGGCAGCGCATGATGAAGATCACGAACAGTCTGCTTTGCGTTTTATCTTGAATGGTCATGCCATCGACTGCTTCGAGATGATCTACTGGCCTTTTGTCTTCGACGCCATTCACGAAGGTTTGTCTCACGACCCCGAGGTAGTGGACTTTGCGCGAAAAGGGCTACATATGTATGCCTCTCGGATTGAAAGTAACCAGCCTGGATTTTACTATCGTCACCATGGTACGTGGCTTATGTTGCGGTCTTGTACACGTAGTGCCTTACTGTTGTGTGGTACAGCTCGTCGGGGTCTTGACACCTTACTTCCCCATTCCTGGAAGAATGGCGTCGAACAGGTAATGCAAATGCTGAGATACTGGAGCTCTGAAGCGAATGATATCGCTAGTCAGTCAGAAATACTCGAGTGCCTGATGAGAGACCTTGCAGATGGCTGATAGAGCATTGTGAACCAAGGTTACCCCGATAGTTGGTTCCATTATGTACAACAATAATATGCATGACAAGGCCTCCCTATGTCGTACCGTAGCTAATCCACGATCCCTGAGTCGATGAAATTGGCAATGAAGTGTGAAGTTGCTCAATTTGAATTCAACGTCAGGTGAATATCTTCAGCCCCGTCCATCATCTCGTCATGCCCATCCGGATAGACGACTCGGATGGGCATATTTACAGACTTCCCGGTATGCATGGTCAACGACAACGAAACTTTGGTAGTATTGTGCTCGCGTTTCCAATGAACGTGTGCCAATCCAAATGAGCCAGGGACCCCGAAGGGTACTTTAATATCGAGTGTTGGGAACAAACTGACGCGTGGATGGAAGGTCATGGTCTTCCACCCTGGTGTACCCATTCGAACGCCAGCAACCTCGGTCGTGAACTCATATATTGGCGAGCTTCCCCATGCATGACAATCTGATCGTTGGGAGACTGTATCTTCCAACCATGTGGTAAGATTCAGGGACAACTGGTCTTTCCATGGTCCCCAAAATCCGTGGAACCTTTCGTCATACAGACTACCTCCAACCATTGACATAGCACGAAGCGTGTAAAAAGACATTGCCGTTGATGCCTGTGTAAATGTTCTAGCACCCGACACTGCAGTGCATTCAGAGATGATATCAAAAGCCAAATCGCCCGTTGCGGCACCAGACAAAACGGCCCAAACCTGACCATGTTGACTATAATCATTGTCACAGGCGGCTTCGGAGGCTAGACCGTCTGTGAAGAAGTGTCCATCAAAGCAGTGGGCCTTCAGCGCAAGCAGCGTTTCATCGGCTCTCAGTTGGTATTCTCCAGCAACTGCAGAACGACCCACGGAAACCAAAACATCCGACATCCGTTTCAGTGTATATGCATACAACATGTTGGTATATGATGCAAAGCCAGTCCTTTCCGCCGCCGGTGGAATCCCCAATGGCTTCCATGAATCTGCCCAATCGACAAAATCCCATTGCTCTGAGCTGTCGGACAAACGAATGAGGCCGAGCTTGGAGTCGATGCGGCGAGCAAACGAATCCAACACGCCGTCGCACACGGGCAGGAATTGACGAACAAATTCGCCGTCATGGAAGTATTCAAAATGATCGCTTATCATGCAGATCCAAAACAGGGAGAAATGTGGGATTAGCTGAAGTTGGTGAGCTGGCGCGCGGCTAGCCGTAAGTCGAAACTGCTGGCGAGTATGAGTTGTGAAGTTGGATGATTGCCTGGCGTGCTAAGCGATCATCACCTGAACAACAGTATGTAAAAAGGGCTGAGCTCCTGGTGTCCATCGCATATTGAAGTTGCTCATAAAACGGACAGTCCTCGTAACAATCATGCATGCAATTTGACAGGGTTCGGATGCTTGTTGTCCACATTTGCCGGTATACATTATCAGCGGATGGAACCTCAAAATCTGCAAGGACCTGTAGGGGGTATTTTGTTGTGGTTATGTCAATGCGCTTCATGGTGAGATCTGAGAGTGCTGATACCGTGATATCCAATGCCAGGAATCGAAACGTTCGAAAGTGAAACGGCGCAAATACGTCTTCATCGGAACAGTTTGAGTTGTAGTTCAGTGTACTCCTGAGCTTTTGATCGGCAACACCAGAAATACAATACTCGTCTTTTGGCCCTAACAGTTTCTTTCCGGTATCCCGGCGGTCGCCTTTTCTTCTGATCCATGGGACAATATCGGGTACGTCTTCATAACACTCGGAGTAGACCACCTGCATGGTACTACCAGCATGTTCAGGACACTTGAACCGGAAGTAAAGCAGTGCAGTCGTATGGTTTTCAACTTCCAGTTCCAAACGATGCCGACTTCCAGCTGGAAGACAGATTCCCTCGGAAGTTGTGTCATGGGGGCCAAGCAAAGCTTCTTCCCAGTTCGCTCGGGGCTGGTTGCTTTCAATGTTGTGAATGGCTTTAAATGTCACTGGCTCATATCGAGGAAATGGGATCAGGCGGGGAGAAAGTTTCCATGGGGCCGCAAGGCCATGGGAGGTGGAAAAAACCAAAGGTTTGGCCGGTATCCAGTTTGGCTGCGTCGTGTATTGACCGACTTTCTCGTAGATGTGCAAGAACGCGTCCTCTAGAATGTTTGTTGGTAGCGTGGTTGATTTATCCAGGGCCGTTTCCCAGCTGTCGTTGGTCTGAACATCGATGGCCGGAGCGGGATCCAAGCCACCGTTGCGGATGAGGAGACCTGGCACATGTAATCGCGGAAAGCTGGTTGCGTGTGTCGTGGCATGGTACAATCGCAGAACTCTCACACTGATGGTGTTGGCTCCCAATCTTAAGTACGGTTGAATATCTAGCTCGTCGTAAAACCAAAGGTGACGGTCCCCTTTGACGGGACCAACAGATACAAGGTCGGAATTTACATAGAGCTTGTATTTCGTGTCGGCGGTGATGTGAATATGTACTGGTTTTGAAATACTTTCTGTCACAGTTATTGTCTTGCGAAAGTGAACAAATGCTCCAGCGGAGTCCGTTGAGTGCTCTGTCCATTCGGGATGCCATATCCACATGGCCATGATCGATGTGGGGGATCAAAAGAAAAAGAAATAAGAGATATGCGGGATCCTCATCTGACACTGTTTCAAAGTTGCTTGCACGGCAAATTGTAGAAGAAGATTATATATCTTCAGCCACTTGTAGGTAATCGAGCAACCTTGGAAAGACCTCAGGGAATGTTTCATCCCCCGGGATTCCGCGGGGTAACTGCGGCATTCCCCACAATTCTTGACGCCGAGCCGGAATTGGCCCGGGATTCCGCGGTGATATCGGCATAGGAATTTGGAAATCCTTTCACCTAGCCACTCTGCACTCAACTGTGCTCGCTCGGAATAGCTCTATTTCCCCAGCTTTTCGGAAGACTCTCCCCCACACCCGAGAACCCCGGAGTACCAGAACGGTTTGGTCAGAACGGGAATATGGATCACGATAGCACGACTTCTTCTCTTAGGAGAAAAAGGGATGGCATATATAAAGTCTCATCGGCATCTCTCCACAAAACCGTCTTGGTTTAGTTAAACATTTATTCTTTACAATCTACCGTGTTTGAAGTCGGGCCACTGTTAAAGGAGCACCTACGCCTGATATGTCTTCTTCTAGGGTAGCGATGCCCGAGAGCAGCGTGGACGTGGTTCACTGGTGGAGGCACAAAAACTTACGTTCACTGAATCTTCTCATGATGTTTCCACTACTCTCTCTTTTTACTCAGGGGTATACCTCCAACCTGTCTCCTAGCGAGGAACCCGGCGTATGGCTTGCCTATTGGAAGTTAGCTAACCTTCGCCAACGATAGTTTTGATGGGTCGATGATGAATGGCCTGCAGGCAGTGGAAAGTTGGCGCAGCTATTTTGGACAACCCAAAGGAGCTACCCTGGGTTTATTCAATGCTGCCTATCCAATCGGTGGCCTGGTGGCTATTCCGTTCATATCATTTGTGTGTGATAGTTTTGGTCGACGTGCTGGTCTTTCCCTTGGTGCAATCATCTGCTGCGTAGGGGCAGCACTCCAAAGTGCCGCGCAGAACCTCGAAATGTTCGTGGTTGCTCGCGGGATTCTAGGCTGCGGAACAGTCTTCCTTGGGGCATCTGGCGCCCCCTTGATCACAGAGATCGCACACCCAGCGCACCGAGCTACAGCAACGGCTATGTTCAACACAACGTACTCCCTCGGAGCAATTGTTGCGGCTTGGTCAACCTTCGGGACATTCCGTATCGATGGTAGCGCTGCATGGCGAATTCCATCTGCCCTCCAAGGCCTTCCGTCTCTTGTGCAACTTCTTGGTTTATACTTCGTTCCAGAGAGCCCACGTTGGCTTATATCCAAGGATAGAAGCAATGAAGCGCTTGAAATTCTTGCGAAATACCACGCGGAAGGGGATCAGTCCGATCCGCTCGTTCTTTTCGAATTCAACGACATCCAAGAGGCTCTCCAATATGAGCGCACTTTGGCCGAGAATACCTGGATCGAAAGTTATTTGCAGTTCACCCGTTCTAGTGGAAATCGGAAGCGCTTGTTTATTTTGTTCTGGAGCGCATGTTTTGCCCAGGTATGTTTCCACGGTCAATACCCATGATATATATTGAAGCTGATCTTGGGACGCGTGCCATCCCTATATTTAGATGTCGGGCAACGCTTTTATTTCATACTACCTTTCGCCGGTTCTCTCGAGTGTGGGATTAACAAGCAGTCTAGAGCAAACCTTGATCAATGCAACCCAACAGATGCTTTCGTGGATTTCCTCGTTATATTTCGCCACTCTTCCCAATAAGCTTGGACGTCGATTTCTATTCCTCGGTTCAGGAACAAGCATATTTCTTTGTCTCGTTGGTATCACTACTGGCAGTGCTATGTTTGCCCAAGACGCTTCAAACAAAGCTGCAGGCGGCGCAGTCGTTGCCTTCCTCTATCTGTTTTCACCATGTTACAATTTTGGTCTGAATGGCAATCTCGGTCTCTATATTGCAGAGACCCTGCCTTTCCATCTTCGCATGAGGGGTCAAGCTTTGTTCCATCTTTTCTCCACTTGCTTCACCCTACTCTCGACCTACGCGTTTCCTATTGGGCTCCAAAACATCGCATGGAAGTTCTATATCATCTTTATTCCGTGGGTGGCTATCGAGTTTATTGTTGTATACTTCGTGTACCCGGAAACCAAGGGATACTCACTTGAAGACATCGCGATAATCTTCGATGGAGAGAGTGCGGCTTCTCTCGGGCATGACCTATCTGCGGATAGCAAGGATCTTGATGTTGAACATTCTGAAATCGTTCGCAAGTAGTTATTTCTATCTCTCTAATTCCAATTACCCGGTTTGATTGTTGCTACTTCTTGAGCTGTAGAGGGACTATGTGTATAATATCTCTTTTCAATATAGGTGATTCATCGTCAGCCTTCACTCTCACAACTATTCCGTGCAAAACGAACCACAACGCTCGGGTTAAGACATAATCATAGGAGATATATCTGCTGAATGGAAGATTTAGTGACGGGAAGAGCTCTGCAGGTGCACCATGAAATACTAGTCTTTGCTTCCTTGTTACCATTCGGTCTGGATGGGGTTCTTTTGGGGGATGTTTGGTTTGTTTGCCTATATCATCACCACTTTTAACAGATTGACTTTTATTACATTCTATTCGGTGAGCATGATTTCTATTGGTCCGGGGACCGTAGCATCGCTACCTGCACGTAGTCGGGATATGGCTCGAAGGTATCAACCTCCCGGAACCCATATTTCAGGTACAAGGGTCTCCCAGCCGGAGATGCGGACAGATAAACCTCCAGACCTTCAGCGTCGGCGCGCGTGAGACCCCATTTGAGGAGCTTTGAGCCCAGGCCCTTGCCCTGTTGGGAAGGGTGAACAGCCAGAATATCCAGATCTATGCATCGCGGTTAGTTATGGCGGCTCGTCTCGTAATACAGACAAAAACAAGCAAGCATTTATAAAGGGAAACTCAAAAACTGCGAGCAACACTCAAGAAACGGAAAAAAAAAAAGAAAAAACGTACAATAATGAGGCCGCTCCCCCATCCACTTCTCATGTCGCGCCTCCATACCATGAAAAAAACCGATCGCAAAGCTCCTTGTCACTACTAGCAGGCCATGCGATTTCTTTTTTATGCTGATCGCGATCTGCAGCTGACACGGGCCGTTTCCATTTCCCGAATGCGACGATCCTGCCACTCTCCGAGTCTTCCGTCACCTTGAGCAATACATCGTTGGTCTTGCCTGCAATTGAAGCCGTGATCACGTCGCTGAGATATTTTTCCCACCATTCTGTCACATCCGGCGTGTTTGGGAACATAGTGGTGTCGAGGTCGCTACGGAAGCTGGCGTAGAAGACTTGCGTGAGTTCGGGCGCATCGGTGGGAGATGCGGGGTGGACCTCCAGTGACATCTTGGGCGGGTTGAACTTGAAATGTGTGGGCGACAATTTGTTGAGGTGATATGATATGCAGAGGGGTAGGTTGTGTGATGGATTGGAGTGTTTGCGAGTTTCAAATTAGGTGATCTTGGTGGTGGCGTCATTCCCAAGGTGGAGAAGGCTCCATTTCGACAGTTTGAGAATACAAATATTGCATCTGCTTGCAGTATATTCACATTGGAAGCGGAAATAACCCTAGTTTATGCTTCATAATGGGTAATTTTACTGCGGCTGCTATTTAAAGACGTGCATGATCCCATGTGCGAGGGGCATAACGGCTTTTTGGCTTAGTTGATGCCTGAACGGTGCCTGAATAATGCCTGAATGATAAATAAGGCACCAATAAGGCATTTTAAGGCACCAACCAGCCCCTTCGCACCAATGACAGAATCCCATACCTACTAGTATGTACTGCAGTGACTATATACCCATCCTCAATACGTGCTGCTGACATGTTGCTGCTTCAACATTGCAGATAGTGTAAATGCTCCATCGAGAACTACCCCTCAGGCATTTAAGCATTTAGGCATCAACTCTCATCCTCAGGCCACCAAGTCATGCATATGCTATGTTACGCAGACTCAATGCTAATAATAATCAGATCGTAGTATGTTTTTACTATTGACGTTGTCATCTGTTGCTCTAGAAAGCTCTTTTAGCTTATTATAACCCGTCTTACAAACACTGCCACATAACTAACTAGAGGTAACTCAACGTGCTCTGAGACCATATCTAAGCAAAGTGTCGCCATACCACGCCATCTCACATAAACTACCACCATATCCCGCAAAATAGCGAACAGTTCCAATAAGAAACCAGCATCCGACCCGTTTAGATGGAGGTTTTACTCTTTGAGATGTCAAACTGCCTTTATAAGCCACCGAGGCGGGGCACTTTGATAAGAAAACCATCGCCCGCGACCCGGACAGTTCTCACTTCAAATCCCCAACCCTCTTTTGAGTCCCGCACGCATCTTGAAAACAACACTGGATTTCATCGCAATCATGGGTGACGCGGCATTTGTACCGGAGCATGTTCTCATCATTTTCTATCAGTTGATGCCAGTAGAGCTGAAAGACGTTATCCGAGACAAATTCCCCGATGCCGAGGTCACTATTTACGATGTTCAGCCAGGTGTTCCTGTGCCATCTGGTAATTTACCTTAATTCTTCAACATCTGAGCTCACGGAAACTAAAATCCCGCGCAGAAGTATATCGAAAGGCCACTATTCTCGCGACTTTCACGGATCTTCCAGACCTCAAGGACTCGAAGAAGTAAGCCCCCCACCCTGGTCAGGTTTACTGTGTCTGAAATTAACCATTACTGTAGCCTTAAATTAATTCACACCTACTCTGCTGGCGTGGATCATCTTTTGCAAAATCCAATTTTGCTAGAAACTAAAATCCCCATCACTACGAGCTCGGGTATTCACGGTCCTCCCATTGCCGAATGGACCGTGATGAATTGGCTGGTATCATCCCGGAAATATGTCAAGGGCTATGAGGCCCAGAAATCCCACTCGTGGGATAAGAATGCGTACGGGCCAGGTCTTCACGATCAAGTGGGCAAGAAGGTGGGTATTCTAGGATACGGAAGTATCGGGCGCCAAAGTACGTTTCACCCGTCGTCGTTCAGTACCCCCGAGCTGCAAATCGCATGGAAACAAGAACCCAAGTTGACCATCGACAGTCGCCCGCGTCTCGCAGGCATTGGGCATGACCGTCCACGCATACACGGCCACCCCACGCCCAACACCTGAATCCCGCCATGACACCGGCTACATCGTGCCCGGAACCGGAGATCCAGACGGCTCAATTCCGGCATCGTGGCACCACGGAACAGACCGCGAAGCTATTCGCTCTTTCTTATCTACCGGGCTAGACCATCTGGTTGTCTCACTTCCGCTGACTCCGCAAACAACCCATCTCCTCGGCGCAGAGGAATTCGCCATTCTATCTGACCGGAGTCATCACCATACGAGCAAGCCTTACGTGACCAACATCTCCCGAGGCAAGGTTATCGATCAGAAGGCGTTGGTCGATGCGCTGAATTCTGGGGTCCTGGGTGGTGCCGCACTTGATGTCACTGATCCCGAACCTCTTCCTAAGGATGATCCTCTCTGGGATGCGCTCAATGTTCAGATCAGTCCACATGTCAGCGCTCTTGGAGTGGAGTATTTCCCGCGCTCTCTTGATATCCTGGCATTAAACCTGGAGCGCATCGCTCAGGGTGAGCCGTTAATCAACTCTTATACACGGGGCAAAGGGTATTAGAATTTGCGCATGTAGGTATTAGTTGGATTAATATCACACGGCTGGACAACCCCTTGGTGTCCTATGTGACATCGGAGACTGGGGGTTATATGTGACCACAGCTTTATCGAAGCAAAAGAATTAGAATTGTAAGAATATACTAGTTTCAGGTGTAAGGTCCCGTCTCAACCGGGTAAGATACGTTGGCTGTGGGACAGGGAACAAAGGTGTATTGATCTGTGTGGGTCAAGACTAATTCTTGCCAGAATTCAGGGGGGGCCCGGGGTACGAAGACGTATAGGGGTCAGGCGTCAAAACCCAATTTTAGAGGACCTTGGTGCCTTAATGCCTTATTTTAGAACGGCAGAAAAGTATAAATACCTGAATTACTATTACACGTGCCTTAATAATCAAAGTACCTGGCTTCTCCCAGCGTTGTTAGGTAGGGTATATGAAGCCTTTTGCCACCATACAAATCAATGCATCTCCATTTTCTGGGTGGTTGCAAGTCCGAATTTGATAGTAATAATGAGAGAAAGTTCACTTTTGGAGATGCATTGATTTGATTTGTATGGTGGCAAAAGGCTTCATTTTTCGGACTTGCAACCACCCAGAAAATGGAGATGCATTGATTTGTATGGAGGGCAAAAGCTTCATTTTTTAGACTTGCAACCACCCGGAAAATGGAGATGTATTGATTTGTATGGTGGCAAAAGGCTTCATTTTTTGGACTTGCATACACCCAGAAATATGTGGATGCCTTATATTTATGGTGTTGAAAAGCTTCATTTAGGCAGGTTGATGTATTGACAATTTACAGTACACTGTATAGAGCGGTGTATAAAGCGGTGGTAATTCAGGCATTAAGGCACCAACATCCCCCCCAAAATTGGGTTTTGACGCCTGACCCCTATACGTCTTCGTAGCCCGGGGGGCCCAGGAATAAAAGGAAATGTGTCTTTGAAAGGCCCTTTATCCTTTACAATTATTTCCCCTTCTCCCACGAGGATATCCACATCCGAAAATAGATCGTGGCAATAAAGCATCGGGGAGGCATCGGTAGTGCTTTATAACAAAGGGGCTTTGATTAGAATAACTCCGAATCCTCATCCGATTTTTGCACGTCTTTGTGGTATCTGGGCTATATAGCCGTGGATATATTTGTAGTGGAAACCCCATTTTTCCTAATCGTCTTCGACAATCATCATCACTATACCTCCCGCTATTCGTGGAAACCGAATTCATTTAAAAAACACATAGTATATAGGATGCCTTCGTTCGACTATCAACCGGTTTACACCTAGAACCAGTACGGTTCCCTTTTCGATCCAATACTTCTTATATGAGGCGGATTCGAAGAAGTGTCAACAGTACAACCAGCGGAAGGTGGCATACGACCTACCGTTAGAGGGAATATAGGGTGATCGTGTCGAATTGATAGCGATGGCGGGTCGTATATTACCTTCCGCTGGTTGCATTGTTGACACTTCTTTGAATCCGCCTTATATAAGAAGTATTGGATCGAAAAGGGAACCGTACTAGTTCCGGGTGCAAACCGGTTGATAGTCGAACGAAGGCATCCTATACACCATGTGTTTTTTAAATGAATCCGGTTTCTACGAATGGTAGGCATGGTGATACTGATTGTCGAAGATGATTGGGAAAAATTGGTTTTCTACTACAAACATGTCCACGGCTATATAGCCCAGATACCACAAAGACGTGCAAAAATCGGATGAGGATTCGGAGTTGTTCTAATGTTTTTCAAGCTCAGCTCAATCCAATCGTTCTATGACTACAAAACAATAGTCATTAGGGTCTATGATATAGGTTAGAATCCATACGCTTATTCTGAGATAGAGACTGCACTTAAACCAAAATTCTCAGAACTGCTTCATTCAGTCTTAATTTTACTGTCATAATATGTTTCTTGGTGGATTGAAGAGAGGTTGGAGAATATGCCGGTGTAGACCCATTATTATTGAAGGGTGATTTGCATTTTATAATTCAGGTAAAAAAGTAATCGGAATGTACGTTATTACATACTATCATATGCACTTCTAAACCCCTCCTCAATCACGACGCCAATAAACCCGCAACCAGCAACCGCCAATGCCCATGGGTTCACCAAGTCGCCCAAGTCAGGCCAGAAGCTGTTTTTCTCTCGCTTCCACTGTCGCAGCTGCTTATACTTATGTGGATCCTGAGACTTATAGCGCTCTTCCTGGCTAGCCTCGGTCTCCTTGTCACCACCCACGAAGCGAAGGAATAGGTAATTCGTCACAGGTCCTAGTATCACAACTGGGTTGAATGGACCAGCCATATTGAGCAACGCAAATGAAAGATGGACCAAGGTGTCCCCAAGGTAACTAGACCACAATCAGCAGACGTCATCAATGTGAAGGGCGATATATGTATCGCAAACAAACTTACTTCGGATGCCGCACCAAACCCCAAACACCATGCCGACACAAGTCCGTCCGTTCCTGTCGGTGTAGTGCAAGCTGTGTATCCGCCATAACTTCCATCGCAAACCCAGCACCAAAAATTCCAACACCAAGCGCCCGAACAACATTTATCACATCATCGCCTATTGGAATCCTAGCATCACCCGTAGTGAACGGAACCGTGAATGGCAAAGAGATAACACTCAACACAGCAGCTTCCGGTAAAAATAGCTTTAAGAATGCCCCTCTCCAAAAGCCAGGTTCCTTTTTGATTTCGGCGTACCGCGCATCATCTGTCCCGCGACACAATGACCGGCAAGCAATCCGGGCAAAAAGTCTCGCGCCCCAGATAGTAACGCAGCTTAGAAGAACTCTTTTAGTCCATGGTAAAGCCTCACAAGCAGTTCCGAATGAGATGTCGTGTGTGCACATCGGCTGACCGACGGCGGTCCACCAGGCATTGAGGACTTGGGCGGAGGGCCAAAGCCAGTCTTTGAGTTCGACTCGGTTTGTTGCTTCGGCTGCAATGTATGTTGCCAGTGAAAGGCTGGAATATAGGCCGAATGAGGGTAGGAGGGTTGATTTTAGGATTCCCACGTCACCGGGTGTTAGCTTGTTTTTGAGCGGTGGCGAATGGAGAGAGCTAGAGAACTGGTTCTCTCGGACTGAGTGGGGGACTAAGAATGACATTTTGGCGCATCACCTGGATCCTTGAAGGGTTGGGTTACGGTAATTGCAATATCAATGGATAGTGACCTGGTCGTGGTTTTATACCTCGTTCCATGCTGTCCGGCCATTGATGTCAGAATTATGTAACGCTCAAGTGGGCCTGCATCTCGAGCTGGTTTCATATTCCAGGCGTTGTTTGAATACAACGATATAAACGATGAGATTCGAAATTTTATGGCATACATATAACACGGGAAGAATGGTGGGTATCGAGATGGCCGACTTTCACCCTCGGGATGGTCAACTTTGGTGCAAAGGCCTCCATAGAGGTACATGCTTAGATACATATGTAGACAGACAATAAAAGAAGCCTGCATGACTCGCCTTTTTGTTAACACAGAGCTTGCATGGGATTTTTGAGGTCAAACAGAAATGTTGAAGTGTGACAGCTCTGATGTTTGATATATAGAATAAGAGATAATATTTAAAGAAATAGATAATATGAACCATATTATTAGTATTCTGGAGTATGGCGTGAATAACTCTTCCAAGGTATTCGATGGGTAAGTATAGGCAGCCTTAATTGTGTTGAGCTGTTTGCACATGCTGAGAAATAATGGAGGCAAGATCAATGTGAATACTCAAAGGCTGTGATTCATCCTTATTCTTGTATTTTTGATTCATGATAACCATCAACCGTTCATTCCAGAACGGCAAGCAGGTTTCAAGATCAGTTGCCGAGAATGCGGTAGTTTCGTTGACACTCCCGGTGTATATATTCTCGGGTATATCCTGCTTGAACGAGTTCGAGCTGGGCGACAAGTCGACCGAGCAAGTCAACCCGAGATCATGCAAGTCGGAGCCATCGGGTATACGTTCGAAGGGAAGTCGGTTGGTGGGTAATCTCCGGGCCTTTCCGTCGTTCGTTGAAGGTTCATCGGTAGAAAGGTCCCTTTCCTGGCGCATGAGGTATGCTCGCGGATCGTGAGGAGAGAGCGTTGTCGCAGAGACCGGCTCGCCGATCGAAGTTTGCGACGAAGTTAATGCAGCTTTTGCGGCAAGGTATCGACTGCTATGAGGCGAATGCGATACTGGAGCAGACTGTGAACTGGACGGGTTATTGTTCTGCTTGAAGCGTAGGCGACTGCTCTGGATGGCTTCCTTCTTCCGCCTTTCGAAATCAAGCGCTTTTTCCAGATCGGATGGTTCCTCATGGCTCACGCCTTCATGAAGTTGAGCGGCCCATCTCTCAAGAACCGGAAATCCTCGACCACTATCCATTGACCCTGGGATATCCTCACCTTGGTCTTCAGGTAGCGACAGCACATGACGAGCAGATTCCGGGGTGATGCTATTCTTCGATGGACTATCCGAGCAACCATCATTTTGCCCATCGGCATGCCCAATGCTTGGCGAGGTGTTCGTGGGCAATCCAAATCGTTGCTGTGCAAGGAAAGAAAGCGGTGAGTCCGGTTCCTGGGTCGGTCCTTCCTCAACAGGGCTTTGCTGCAGCGAGACTTGCGTGGTTCTTTGGAACCAAGTGTCTAGAGCTCCGTTCCCATACCGATCTCGATCACGTTCTCTCTCGGCGCGTCGGGCGCTCGAAATTCGATTAGTCTCAGGGGAGGACTCGTTCGATTCCGGTGGATGCTGTCGACGACGCATCACGGGCGACCTAGGTGCGAGTCGAGAAGTAAGAGGGGCTGCAAATTCTGAGCTGGGCGAATGCTGGAGGCCTCGCAGTTCACTCTCCCTTCGGATTGGCCCATGTGGGCTATCGCTAGATGGATCCACGGGGCTTGTTTGAACGAGGGAATTGCTCCCGCGTCGTGGTGTTTGAAATGAGGCATTGATTCTGGAGATAGACCACGGATTGACGAAGCTGGAACGTTTGGTTTTGCCGGTGGCTGATTCGTCGGGACTTCTGGGGTCCTGGCTGCTTGAAGGAACCACAGGCGAAAATGCGTACTCAGACCGAAGAGGCTTCTGTGAGAGAGGCGTGTGGGGTATGGCTTCATTGAAGGGGTTGTCAGGGTCGCGAGGCTGTGTGGAAAGCTCTGTAGCTGGCTTCCTAGACATCAAAGGTTCAAGTCCTGCTGAGACTTCAAAGGATTTGCCAGCATCCTGTTTGCCTTGGTTGGAATTTCTTGTCTCTGTCCCTTCTATTCCTCCGTAATGGTCGCTAAACAAATTCTCTACCAAGGCCAAGACTAGATCTCGGTCTTCGAAGAGCAGATCATCTTTTGCTGGCTCGATGTTTACATCGTACGTTCCTCGAGGACAGCGAATTTGCAAACAGAGAAAAGGATCGATAACCGATTTAAAGGATTCGCTTCTAGATGCGGCAACGCGGACGTATGGTTTGAAGATTTTCACGATCTCATGCCCAATTCCCCTGCTACTAGAGAGAGGGCGGCCATCTACACTGATGTATTGGCCTGCGTTGTTGATTCTTGGGGTATCTAACTTGCTTGGTTGGTAACCACATCACCGGATGTTCATTAAGATGAGCTCACCGAATTGTGTCTTTGGAAGAAAGGCAATGGCTTCATACTCTTCATGGTCTGATGATCCTCGTTTATTCTCATCCGTTTTCTGGGACGAAAGTCGCTTCACGGCACAAGAAGAAGACGTTTCTGTGCCGGCTACCTTGAGGGCTGCATCCGAGATCGAGGCGTCTGCGCTTGGCGCATAGGTCCAATTGCCGTTTTCATTTTTTGCCTTGAGCATTTTGAGTGAGAGCCTCTTGGATGGCTGAGCTATAGCATATGCCTGGAGAAGCTTTTTGATTCTCGTGAGATTTCTCGCAGCACCCTTTAAGGCAGTTTGTCTGCGGACAGGGATGTGTTTGAGAAAGTCTGTGATACGAACAGTTGTGCCCACAGGATGTGACGTCCGTTGTGTTCTGTGATGAAATGTCAGCAGTGACACATATTTCAAGAAGCTGACGAGGTCAGCATACCCAATAACCTCTCCGTTTCTTCCATACTTCACACATCGCCCGGCAACTTCGGACTCAACTCGAGTGGTGACAACGAGAACGCCAGACATATTCGCGGCACTAGCAAGTGCTTCACCACGAAACCCCAATGATGACCCACCGACATTTTTGAGATCATCTAAAGTCCGGATCTTGCTGGTAAAAGCTCGTTTGCAGACATATTGCTGGTCCTCTGGAGAGATGCCGTGACCATTGTCCTTGAGCTGTATGATATCCACGGTGTTTTGGGAAATTTCAATCTGCAGTGACGCAGCAGAAGCATCCAGGGCATTGTCTATAAGTTCCTTGACAACAGAGTAGGGATCCGAAATGACAGATGTGGAGCCAATCGCCCGGATTGTTTTCTGAGGAAGAGCCTCAATCGGCATCCTGCACGCCTGGTATTAGTTGTTCATGACCGAAAGAATCACAAATTGTTTTCATCTGGTTGATTGAGGCTGAAAAAAAAAAACATCCGAACAATTTCAACGACTTATAATTGATGAACGTTGACTCGGCAAATGTCGAAGGAGGATGAAATTGTCTTGGCATGTAGGATCACGTGGTGTGGTTGTCTTAAATTAGTAAGGTTCCGAATCTGCCCCCACATTCACCGAATTAGGTTTAGTTCTCTTCGTACCTGCCCAGGTGCCCCGGTGCCCTTCCTCATTCTGTGTTGGACTTGTTTTTGCTTGAAATTGATCACTTTATATCATACCCAGAATGCCCACTTGCTATCACAAGAATAGTCAGTCGCATATGTGACCTTTTCACGGCTTTTTGATGGGTCTGGGGTGTTGTTTGGGAGTCATTTGAGTATGTTGTAGTAGTTAGTCTCTTTAGATGTTGTTTACATACTTTCCCCCTTATTGGTGTTGTAGATAGAGTATAACTAGGTAGGTAGTATCAGCTTAGGATATCCAAAAACAATCTTTCCATGTATAACCTTTAACAAACATAAGAAACTAATTCATTTTCGACGTCGATTCCATCCTACATGTCAATTCCGCGCGTGAAGCCAGACACACGTTAGTCAGCATAGCCACACCCCGGGGCCCGGCCATCCACGGATCCCGATAAACAACACGTTCAACTTCACGCCTCTACAGCTTCTCAGCCTTACTCTTTCAAACGGCTGAAGACGCTGAAATGTTGGGCGAGGACTTTTCAATAACTAAGTTTGCGATCCCCGCAGTCAGTGTGTTGATCGCCTTCCTCGCCTACACATCACAGTACTTCTTTCTGCACTTCGAGTCTGTGCCACTTACAAGGGACGAAACTTGGAAGATCAATATCTTCGCCCTGTGCATCTGGATATGCTATTACCGAACCTGCTTTGTAGATCCCGGTCGACTTCCCAAAGCCCTGGAGCGACCGAAACCCAAAGAGCAAGAAGGTGATGCACTCGCTAGTCGCCAGCGATGGTGTCGTAGATGCGAAGCTTACAAACCGCCTCGCGCTCACCACTGCAAGACCTGTAAAAGGTTTGATGAGGGATTCCAGTTGTGGAGAATTTTGCTGATCTTCTCCCAGATGCATTCCCAAGATGGATCATCATTGTCCCTGGACCTCGAACTGCGTCTCGCATTTTACCCTCCCGCATTTCATGCGCTTCTTGTTTTATGCGACTGTTGGCATGTCCTATCTGGAGACTCTTCTCTGGCAGCGTGCATCATTTGTATGGAAGAACAGTCATCTTCCAAGCGTACGTAACTCAAAACACTTTACCATTCAGGTCGCTAACCTTGAATAAATAGTACCTCGGTCCCACATTGGGGCAACTCATCCACCTGTTTATACTGCTTGTGGTAAATAGTCTCACAACTTTCGGTCTCTTTGTTCTCCTGCTGAGGAGTCTATGGTCGATTGGATCTAACACGACCACCATTGAAACTTGGGAAATCGAGAGACATGCTACTCTTGTTCGTCGCGCACGTGTGCTGGGCGGGTATCTTCAGGGTCCCGGAGGAATTCGAGTTCAGATAAAAAAGCAGGAATACCCATATGACATTGGGATTTGGGCCAACATCAAGCAAAGTATGGGTGGGAGCGCTAATGTGAGTATGTCTTTTCACGGTCCAAATATCCCAGCTAATGTCTTTCTAGTTCATAAGCTGGTTCTGGCCACTAGCTGCAACACCCGATCTTCGAACTGGCTGGGAATTCGAGACCAATGACTTTGAAGGTGAGTGGATGAGTCAGTAATCTAGCTTTTCGATTACTGATCATTCTGTTAGATCCTGGTGTGTCATGGCCACCCCTAGATCCAGATCGAATCCCAATTCCGGCTAGTGCAAAGCCACCAAGCAATATGAGCATGCCTACATACGCAACTATTCAGGATGAGATTGATGCCTTCAACCATCGTAAACAAGAAGACATGAAGCGATTCCAGCAAAGCCCTGGTCTACAGCGTCGCAAACCATTTTATGCTCGCTACAAAACACGCGACAAGGCTCAAAGTGATAGCGATGAGCCCGAAACTGACTCCGAGGGTTATTCAGACGAAGGCGAAGAGGCCTGGCGAAACGCCGAAGGAGAACGACTACGCGACTTTGGGGTGGATGAGGAAGCAGAGTTCTATGATGAAGAGGACGTTCCTCTCGGTGTTCTCATTGAGCGACGGAAGCAGCAATCTGCTAACTGAACCCTTTCCCACGAAAATCAACAGAATCATTAGATCTTCTTTGCAATACCTCTCAGTCTCACATATCCCAGCCACTGGCTCCCATCTTCGCCACGAGTAACAACATCCTGCAGCACGTCGCAAATCTGCTGCACTGCAATATCCCGCTTTCCCTCAGGGAGCACATCTAAGAACTGGGCTCCCATCAGTCTAACCCATCCTTCCAAACCACCCTTGGCATCGGTGGTGAGTTTTGTTGGGCGGTACTCAAGCTCGACGTTGTCAACCTTGAACCCAATCTCTTCCAAGGCATTTCTCATCCAGGTATCAGAGGGGAAGAACCAAGGACTTGTATCTCTTGCTTTTTCCATAGAGATACCCTGTTGCACCAGTGCATAGATAAGGGCTGTCTTAACCTCGGCAATGTTACCATGTCCGCCCATCTCAAACACATACGTGCCGCCCGGCTTCAGACAGCCGTGGATTGCGCGAAGTGTCGACATGCGCGTCGACTCATCGCGTAAGATCCAGTGGAGGGCTGCGTTGGAGATTCTGTCTAGCTGTTAGAAGTCAAGTTACATGCATCGTGTACCATGTATTATAATCAAAGACATACACTTTATCCCACGATCCATTCACAAGGGAGGTTTCTTTCTCCAGGTACCGGCAATCCACAACGCGGAAGCTGGCTTTGGGGCTTGCGTAGTCTTTGTTCGCCGACTCGATCATGGATGCAGATGAGTCAATACCGACGACGGATTCTACGGCCGGGAGGAAGTTCGCTGTGAATTTTCCATCGCCGCAGCCGACATCAAGGATCTTGTCTGTTGGCTTGGGGTCCAGAGAGGTGAGGAGTTTGCCGGTGATTTTTGCGGAGTGCACGAAGGATGCAGAGGCGGAATATGCCTAGGCTTTGTTAATTATGGCAGATATATTATCACGAGCGATACATACATCGGCTGACCAGTGGTCTTTAGGACCCTCTGTATTGGACGCCATGGCTGACAGATGGAAGTATGGAGAAGTGGGGAAGTTGTAGTCTTTCTTGGCGTGGAATATCAGTCAGAAATAAGAGGAATGATAGAAAAGCAAGTGAAAACGTTTCAAGGATTGTACTTGTGAAGACTTGAATGATTTTCTAGTAATTGGGAAGTTCGATGGGCTCTCTTATATGTTTTCTCTGTAGCGTGTGGTCAGTTGTTCGAGGTAGTATAGCGAGGCCGATATCGGACCGGACTATACTTGAAAGTATGCGCCCTGCGAGGAATGTACAAACCGAGATATGGAAGTTCTAGAACATTTCCCTTTTCCAAATTGCTTATCATTGGGGGCTAAAAGTGATATTTGAAACCGTACAGCTTTCTACGGCCAGTACTAACCAATCCGATTGAGACATAGCTCTTAAGTGAGAAGGCTCTAGAATCAGCATGTTAGTATTACAAGACAGTACTATTACTACAGGGGTACCGTCTATGCAGCCAACTACCATCCACCCCTGATGTTCCGAAATGTTCAATCAACCAGGTCCATAAGATCGCAATGACGATAGCCAGTGGCCACCTAGCGGGTATGCGGCAATGGCGGAACAATTTCCATGAGCTCCACTAATCTTCACTGGGCAAAAGTTACCCCCTCCCCGCTTCCATGCAAACATATATTAGGAAGTCAGATATAACAAGGTTGTTACATCTTCAAATATACAAAAGGTCGCCTTTACTAGCCAATCGGAAATCATGTCTTATCAAGGTCATTGCAATTGCGAGAGCATTCGCATCACCCTTCCTCAACAACCTCCGGGCTCAACTGTTTGCCATTGGTATGAGTTTGGAATCTATTATCTTTGTGGTTGCGTACTAAGGTGATTTCTCAAATGCAGCGATTGTTGCAAGCGAGCAGGTGGTGGTGGTAAGTACATTCGCTAAGACCAAACAACAATGTATAACTATTTTGCTTACAACCCCCTAGCATTATCTGTCAACTACTTTATCAATGAAGATGAATTGACCGTCCACGATCCAAATGCGACATTGAAGATGTATGAGGACAAGAAGTCCGTCAGTGGCAACGTTGTGAAGGTAAGACCATAGCTCCTTTGTCAATAACTATACAGTTTTGCATTTGAACGAAAGACTAACCTAAACCCCGGAATAGCGTTATTTTTGTTCCAGCTGCGGCAGGTATATTGAATGATTCATCCAGTGTTAACAATAGCTGACACTCATCACAGCCCGGTGTACTCCAAGACCCCGAAGACCCCTGGAAAAGTCTTTCTGAAGGCTGCATTGTTCGACATTGTCTCCCCTCCTGCAGCTGAGGTGTTTATCAATAAACAGTATCAATGGGTAACTATTGAACAAGGAGAAGAGCAAGCGTGATATCAAGGCGAAGGTAGAATCAATATGTTGGTTTGAAAAAATATATTTAGCATTGTCTTAGGCGATGGTGCAATTCCTCGAGGGCCTATTATTAGTCAATTTATGCATAAAATTCGCTCCAGCTCGCATCTATATTATTTCCCATATGATATAGCTTCGATTATGTTAATATACCGTCGAGCTTGCTAAGGAGTTAAAGAGGGAACACCATCAAAATGCGGGGACAACATCGACCCGTGGAGAATCTGCTTTCCACCCTTCACCCCTCAGCCAACGATAAAAAGTGCACGCGGTAGCCATGCTGCTGTCTCCGGGCTAATATCATTAATGGAAATATGACAGAAGTCCCTACTCAAACTTCTCGTCCTCGACGACCATCCGGTGCCACTTTGCGGAATACCCGATCGCGCGATAACGCCAACGCCTTGAATCACCACGAAGCAGTCGAGCTCCAGCGGCTCCAAACTCATGAAGACAATGAGCTGTACTACTCAACGCCATCAGCTTCATCCGGTGACGAATATCGCGTCGTGACGCGTCGCACCACATCACGCGCTCTCGCGTCACGTGCCGAGTCGCAGCAGCGCCAGCAAGCTCGAAAGGGGATTTGGGGCAAGTTCACTCGCATTTGGACGCATAATGTTACTTTGACGGTGCCACATAAGAGTAGTCGGGATTACTTCGGTGTGTATCCTGCGATTGCGACTACGACTTGCCGAGCTACACAATACTGACTCTGCATCTAAGCTCTGGAGAGAACATTCCTCGCATATATACGGACCTCTCTCGTTGTTTCCCAGCAAGGTGTGCTGATTGCGCAGCTGTTCCGTCTGCAGGGTGCGGAGGCGTTGGCGGACCGTCTTGGGTTTCGTCAGGTCGGTACTCCCCTCTCGGTCGCGTGTCACTGTGTGGCTATTCTCGTGGCTTTGGTTGGGGCCTATCGATTCTGGAGGCAGCAGAATGCTATTTCTAGGGGTAGGATTTATGCTGGTGGTTGGGAATTGAACTCTGTGGGGATATTACTAGGCTGTGTGAGCGGTACAAATCCTTTTTGGTCTTGAAGGCTTAACTGACGTTGGGCAGATCAGTCTAACCGTATTGATTGTATCCGTTGCTATTATCGTTGAGATTGATATAGACCCGTCTATATTTGTTCGCCAAATATTAGGTGGGTGAGTGAATGGTTGCAGTTGGGGGGGAAGTGAGGAAAGTTATCGTCGTCAAGTAACTGCGAGACGCAAGGCCGAAAAGGAAGAACTTGCCGAAGGAAAGCAAAGGTGAAAGCCTTGGATAATGGTCGCATTAGGATGGAGAATATCATTGGAGCTGGGAAGCAAGATTCGAGTTATTTACAAACACTATTCTCCAGCCCTCCTCCTTACTCTGCAGTATGACAGGAGGCTATACCACAACCAGCTGTTGTGGAAGAAGCGGTCTATCTCAACTGGACTTCTCCATTCTCGTTAGCTCCTCGGCGCTATAGCTTCGAATATGCCAATATCAAGTTCTCCAAGAAAGGAACGAGAGATGTCTACCCGAATGATTCCCATGTTGTTATTTACAATAGATGCGGAAGGGAGGAATTCATGTTAAATTAAACTGTAATATTGCATAATAGATTGTTTTGGATATATTCAAGTTTATATGAAAGATATGATGAGTACCCATTCTTGACGCTTGGTTTCACACCAGTGGCAGTCCAATTTATGGGCATAGCACAATCTTTTCAAGGTGGGACCATTACATGATTTAATTTAATGCATGAAGCTTTACTCTATTAAATAGTTAGAATTATTCATACAGCCATGCAATCCTTCCACCGTTATCATACGTGAGGGGTCATTGGTATCAAGGGAGTAGGAGAGAGCGTGTGGTTTGGTGATTCGAAAGATCATCAGTAAGAGACACGAATATCCTCTTCAAGAACACGCCATTTTTTAGCAACCTCTGCCCGTTCATCGGCAGTAGATGCCCGCATATCTTCAAGACCCTGCGCTATCCGAGATGCCATTATAGAAAGCTCTTGAGTCCTGCCTAAGGATTTTTGAAGCTTTCGACGAAGTCCAACCAAGGGATATCCAAAAAGTCCCCAGAGACCTAGAAGCAGTTGTGTCAGAATAAGATACACACGGGGAAAAGCGAGTGTGTGGAGCATAGCGTTCGCATACCTGCTGGCGGCTTAAAGAAAACACCGCCAATCCCTTTCCCGATTCCCTTAACCATTCCTTTCGCTCCTTGCTTCTTGGCGCCATACCGAGGCTGGGTGACCAAGCCTGTTATACCGTAGTAAAATCCATCTCGGAGTTCCTATATATAAATCAGTTCTGACTTCTTCTTTTATCACCGAGGACAGGTGGCATACCGTCACGGCAGCAGTGAGTCCACTCCGGAAGCCGACAACCTTCGGCAATTCTTTGACCATTTGGTCGTGGTACAGCATCGGAGCATTGTGGAATCCTTTGGACAAGCTAAGGGTCAAGTCTGTTGGGAGCCAGAGTATGTTCTTCAAGAACTTCTTCGACATTCGACTGCCGTGAGTGCGTATCTCGTAGATAACACCATGCTCCCGGCGTGACTCTAGATAGCACAGTAGTTCTTCTTGGTTAATCGGTACACCTTGTCTCTGGCCAGCGGCACTAGCTGGTAAATCTTGGTTCATTTTGTTGTGTCTCACGTTGTCTTCTTCGTTGTCGTTCGTGTCGAGGCTTACCCCATCATTATCACCGTGATTTGGTCGGCCAAGTCCACGGCACTGAGCAGGCCCACGATACTCGGCAGGCTCATGATACTGCTGCTGCTGCTCCTCTTCGCTATCTAGGTCTGAATCTTGACTTTTGCGTGTATTCCTCCATGAAAATCTTGATGAAGGGTTGCTGCGTGAACGAGTATGGCCTATTGCACGACCTGCGGTGACAAAATCTGAAACAATCTCATAAGGGACCTCCCCAATCCCGGTCACAAAGTTTGCAATCGCTCCAAGTAGCACTTGAGCTCCTGCGCTAACAGGGCCTGTGGGATTGCGGTATGTGTCATATTCCGATGCTCGATTCCTGGATAGTTGGTTAGTAGTCTGGAAATATGCTGTCGAAGGCCAACCTACAAAGCAACATTCTCTGGTTTGATATCCCCCATTTCAACCAGTACGGCGGCAGCAAAAGCACTGAGCCCAATGGAAGTTTGTTTAATGTACCACACAGCAGGACGATTGGGACATATTGCGCATTGCAAAGTCTTCAACTTAAGATGACGATGGAAACTGCGTACCCCATCCTTCACACCGGATTCTTTCTGCATCTTATCTGCAATTTCTTGTGCCTTCTGTTGAGTTGAAGGTTTCAGTGCCGTCTGAATTGCATCGGTCAACTTCTCAGCTGTGAGTTGCTTATAAGGCATTGGCTGAGGACCAGCCTCAGCCATCGCAACGATTCCTCCCCAAAACTGTTGATCTCCAAAGAAGGGAACTATAATGGTCGGACGTCCAAGAGAAAGTCCCGCGGCAGTGGTACCCGCACCACCATGATGAATCACACACGATACATGCTGGAATAACCAGTCATGTGGCACGCTGTCGACGATGAGGATATTATCTGGCACATCGATATCGTCGACTCCGAGGTTTCCCCAGCCCTTTGAAATGATTGCACGCTGGCCGGTATTTTTTATTGCTTCGAACACGATTTGAGTTAGTTTGACTTGGTTTTCTACCACAATGGAGCCGAATCCAACGTAGAGTGGAGTGGGCCCTGCTTTGAGGAAATCTTCGATCTCTCTTGGGGGTTTGTAGTCCGACTTCGCAGGTAGCACGCTGAACCCGCAAATATCGATGTGATCAGCCCAATCGCGTGGCTTTGGCAACAATGCCGGTGACCTAAAGTAAACCACAATTAGTGAACGGTCCAACTCCGCCTCCTTCGGGAGAACCCATACCACAGATATGAGAACGGAACGCCGAGACGCCCGGGCAAATTCGGCGCCGTGATGGAATCTAACGGATCAAGTGCGAGGCATTTCTTTCTCCAGGAGTTGATAAGATCCCCCAACCCCTCCCAAATCATCATATCCACAATGGTATAAGACACGAGGTTTGCAACCGTTGGCTTACATTCCTGCGGGTGGAGAACGGCCAAAGGATGTGGGAACGACTGAGTAGCTGACCAGGGCATGCTAAAAAAAGAACTTCCATTAGGGGGCCCCTCAATTTCATGTTTGAGAATGGAAATGGACTCACGTGAACATCATGTGAAGTGGAATCCCCAGCCGCTGTGCGCAATGGATATGGCCCAAGCTGGGCGGGTTAGCGATTATTGCATCAGCAACAAATGGCCTTCGACGATAGTCCACCGTGTCACTCCACAGATCTTCCTTAATTTGATGCAAATCTGTACCATCACCTGATTCAACACATGACTTCCAACAGCCGTATATAATTTCCTTCATTTCGCGCCGGCGTTTTTGGATGGCACCGCTACGAATCGTTCTAAAGGCGGGGAGTAGGGAGGGATTTTGGACCATGAACGCCATCAGCTCCTCGGGATCTCCACCGATGTTGAAGAACTCCAATCCACGGTCAAGTGCAACCTCCCGGAAGGTGAGGTGGGTTGCTAGCCGTACGCGGTGTCCATATGCCTTCAACTCTTGGCCCAGTGCAAGAAACGGTTGGATGTCGCCCCGAGATCCGATAACTTGAATGACGATGTTCAGCTTCAGTGGGAAGTCTTTGCCCTCATCTTTCGGTATTGGTTCCGGGGTCGGTTCGTCCTGTAGAGCCTCTAGGTCTGGTGGCGCAGTTGTCGTTTGGATTCGATTCAATAGCCCTGCTAGTTGTGGCACACTCTCGTCAATATTGATATCAACCCGGCCATCGCCTACAAAAGAGTCACTATTAGTCACGCAGTTTTTCAATGCTTCATCTAAATCACACACTCAAGACTTTAACCCCGGTGTTTCGTCTGTCTCCGTTGATGTGATTTCGCTCGCGATGTGGTGAGAGCGAAGCGTTGATACCCTCAGGCCAGTCCTCCGATTGTATTGACCCATGCCGGCTGGACTTGCGCCTCGTGGTTTGTGTTGCCGAGTCCATTCTTCACGGGAGATCGACCGGGTGTGGCCAACTAGAGTGACACAATTCTGGATGGGAAGGACGCGGTTCAGCGTATGTTAAGACTGAATTATAACAGTAATAAGTATTGTCACGCATCAAACTTGACCATATTTTGTGGGATTAAAGACATTTAAAAAGAAATAAAAAGAATATAATCAGCTTTACTCGATGATGTCAGAAGAGCCCGAACCTTAATACGGCAGTCCACTCTGCCACCGCGTCAGTTCGGATTCTGCCTGCAGTATAATTTGTAATATGAGTATCTTACCAGCTACCTAGGTAGTTTACATAGATCTATTGTTATGCTTAATTCAAAATTGAAGTCTAATTCGAGATAGTTCAAATATGGCCCCCCTAAGCCCCTTAATACTTTACTGTAAGTACTCTACGCTATCACTATTTACTTGATTCATCTGACTTGTTCCGTTCACTTTATAGTTTATTATGTAGAAATAGAGCAATCATCTAGTGAAAGTAATGAAAGTAATGAAAGTCCGATCAAAATTTAGTAGAGAAAGTGGAGGGTAATCGAGTACCGCAGTTGGGCCTCCCGAGGTCGGGATCAGGTGCCAATGGCCCCGAGGTGGATTAGTCATTGGTCTAATAGGCCCCGGGGCCTTGGGGAGCATCTTCCGAGGTAAAATGGTATTGCCATCCAAGATGTTTTCAATTTGGTGGCAAACATTGTCTTGGAATCCATTTGTAGAATACACTATGTAGTTCTATGTAGTTCTTGTAATTTGTTGAACAGCAAGTCAAGTGCCTTGTCTGCAGTAATGCGATTAGATGGCAGGAATCGCATTAACTCTTGAGCCACTTCTAATAAAGGTTGAAGCTCTGGATCATGCACATCCTCTGCAAACTTGCGTTCAAACTTGGAGATTTCGTAGTCTTTGGGTGGAATTAGCATGAAAAATCTTGTACTATGATATATCGAACAACTTACCTTCCTTTATCTCCAGATCACGGCTTGATCTCATCTGCATTTCTTTCCACCGAGACTCCCATTCGACTGGCAATCTCTCCACAAAACCAATCATTTGGGAAACTAGGGATTCGTCTTCGCCAAAATGCCAGAATGGATAGATCGTGAACAAGAAAGCGTAGATCTAGAATTCATGCCAGTATTAGTACTTTCGCTGGAAGAAAGTGAAAGAAAGCAATAGCAACATTGACGTACCATGCAACCAGCACGCCATAAATCAAGCCGATAATCAAAGCGGTCCGTGAAAATTGTCTCAGGTACCCGCAAATTACTCGGCTGAGTCAGCTTTTCAGGCTGCTCTCCTTCGAGGAAACTCTCTCCAAAATCAAGAAGCCGAATATCTTCCTCGTCCTCGTCTATCCAGTCAACCCATTCTGCTGCCTTGACCAGCTGGGTTGGCAATCCCTTGTCTAAAGGCGTGCCATCAATAAGGGCGAGCGGCTCGGTTTTCGGAGAGCCAAGCACATCAAAGAGCTCTTGCCCAGGTGAGTTCAACACTTTATTGCAAGTAAATGCGACGTTCCGGCCGCTGATATCTGAGCTAAAGTTAGTACAATTGTGCCGGACTGCAAAAATAACAGAGCAAAGAATACTCTTACCCCCATGGCACATGCCGGCACTATGAATAAAATTAATAGCTTTCAGGAGTTGCGTAGACATTCGAAGTGTTTCTTCCGGCTCGAGCTTATCTTTGCCCTCGGAATAATCCGTGAGGACCATATCAACTGTAGGACCAAGTAATTCGAATACAAGACATTGGTGGACTCCGTTAGGGCCATCATGGGTAAAGTCATCAAGCAGCTGAACAATATATTGGGAGGAGAGATTTCCGCCAGAATGCCTTTCGAGGAGTCTTAGATTTCGCAGCTCCCGCGATTGTGACCAATTTGCGGTCATGATCTTCAACGAGACCCACTGACTTTGGCTGGTATCATGTTAGTTGTGGCTTGGCAAAATGGTTCGGTTTTTGAGCTAACTCCTTGTCCCTCGCAAGCCACACAGTCGAAAACCCCCATATCCTAACTTATGATGGGTTTCGTAGCGCCCATTCTTAAAGGTGTCTCCAAGGGCGACCGGGTGATATCCCCCGGGTTTGTATTTTGACAATGGCTCCTGGGTATAGAGAAGATTATTCTGGCAGAATAGAGATAAATCCATGTTTGACGAATTGGAGTGGGGAGGCAGTTGGAGTGAGGAGAGGAGGACGTCATGGGCCCCAAATAATTCTTGCCCAGCCCTGCGGGAGGTGCCGAGACTTGATGTCTTATCGGACAAGCGAGAATGGCCCCTGGGATATGCCTTATGATGTTGCGAAACCTGAGTGGTTGGCTCCTCATGACGTTTGATTGGTTAAGCGTACGAATCCACCGCCTCACCCGGCCCCCTATCCACTTCTCCAATTTCTCTATCTACCTAGGTATTCTATGATATTAATCTGATATTAGATACATTATGTTGAGAACCTTTTCGGGGCTCTTATTAGAGAGGTCTTTGGTTTCCTTTCGCCATTTGAGTGAAGCATTGGAAACTCATAGCCAACCGTACAGATCCCGAACTAGTTGATTATTGACATACCATTGTTTTGCTCTCCAATGCTACTAAACGAGATGTCTTCGGCCGGCTACTGAAGGAAAATAGTCTCCGAGTCGGAAAATAGTAGCCGACTCCGTCAGACTCAGACTCCGGACCCCACGAATTGGGCAACCTTGAAGGGCCACGGCTTAGCGGGTCTTCCCCGCATTCTCTCCCGGTGGATGGCGTCAAGTTCCGAACTCTAAGTTTGAACTTCATAGTACTTAGGTACGTATAGTACGAAGTGGGGGGACACCGGTTAGGGTAATTGAATTGACTCTGGTTGGAGTAGGCGTTGCATGAAGCAAAGTTTAGACCCTACACTTTGTCTTATATTTGAAACATATCCTCAATTGTTGTTTTCTCAATTGGATCATTACTATCTATTTTGATATTGACACTGTTTATTAGCTACCGGACTTCAAGGAAGACCATGGCGGATAAGAAAGAATCCCCAGAGAGCGAACATTTTGAATCCGATATAAAATCGGATCCTTCTGCTTTCATACCGGCCCCTGGATCAGCAAGACAACCATATGGCGAATCTGGTATCATCTCCCCCACCTTTCTCTATACTGATCACATACTAATGCATCCTCCCTCGAAACAGGCCTGAAGGGTATCCTCACGAATAAATATGTAGCAGCATGCGCCGCCTTCGCAACACTGGGCGGGGCTATGTTCGGCTACGACCAAGGTGTCGTCTCCGTAACTCTCACAATGGACCAGTTTCTCGAGCGATTTCCCGAGGTTGGCCCCGACGCACCCGGTGCAGGATTCCAGAAAGGAATTCTCACTGCCATGATCGAGCTTGGGGCGTTCATTGGAGCAATGAACCAGGGATGGATTGCCGACAAAGTCTCTCGGAAGTGGTCGATCATGGTCGCGGTGATAATCTTTCTCTTTGGTTCCGCCCTGCAGACTGGGGCGATGAGTTTTGAAATGCTTGTAGGTGCCCGGTTTGTCGGAGGTATTGGTGTCGGCATGCTGGCCATGGTAGCACCGCTTTATATTTCTGAGATCGCGCCCCCGGAGATTCGTGGTACTTTGCTTGTCATGCAGGAGCTTGCTATTGTCACTGCCATTGTGATAGCTTTTTATGTCACCTATGGTACAAGATACATTCCTGGTGAATGGTCGTGGCGCCTTCCTTTCCTTATTCAGGTGTGCCTTCCCCGTTGGCTTCAAGGTGTGCTTTCCTAACCATGTGGACAGATGATTCCTGCCGTATTCCTCGGTGTCGGTATTCCGTTCCTGCCATATTCACCTCGCTGGCTGGCTGGTCGAGGCCGAGATGAGGAAGCACTCCAGGTTCTCTGTAAGCTGCGCGCCGTCGACTCTACTGACGAGCGCGTCATCCGAGAGTGGGTAGAGATTCGCTCCGAAGTGGCTTACTGCAAGGAAGTGAGCATTGTGAGACACCCAAAGTGCCAGGATGGAAGTTACACCAGTCGTGCTATGCTTCATGTCTGGAGCTATCTAGACTGTTTCCGCAAAGGATGCTGGAAGCGTACGCATGTCGGTATTGGACTGATGTTTTTCCAACGTGAGTATTATGGTGGAACCACCACTTTCCCTTGTTATTCCTCCATAGGCAGGCTAACTCATATCCTTCTCTCAGAATTCGGTGGCGTCAACGCTCTTATCTACTACTCGCCCAGTCTATTCGAGGGGATGGGTCTAAATTACGAGATGCAACTCCACATGTCCGGCGTCATCAACATCTGCCAGATGATAGCATGTTTCTGGTCACTATGGGGAATGGATAGATTTGGTCGTAGGCCTTTGCTCTTTGGTGGTGCTAGCTGCATGGCTCTTGCGCATCTCATCATCGCCGTCCTGATGAGCCAATACCAATCAAACTGGCCAGCGCATTCCACAGAGGGCTGGGTTTGCGTCGCTTTCTTGTGCTTCTTTATGCTCACCTACGGAGCTACTTGGGGTCCTATCCCTTGGGCTATGCCGGCTGAGATCTTCCCTTCCTCGCTACGTGCCAAGGGTATGGCATATTCCACGATGTCGAGCTGGCTTAATAACTTCATCATTGGGCTTATTACTCCGCCGCTTGTGCAAAACACTGGATATGGGACGTACGTGTTCTTCTGTGTGTTCTGTGCCCTGTCGTTTGCTTGGACATGGCTCTTTGTTCCGGAGACCAATGGGAAAACTCTAGAGGAAATGGACTCTGTCTTTGGGGATAATACTTCAAGTGTGGAGACTGAACAGCGCGCGAGAATTGAGGCTACAATTTGGGCTTATGCTGCGCAACGATCTGATGGACTCGAAGGCACGCATCAAATTACCTAGACGGGCAACTTTGCTTTCAGGTTCTATTTTTGATTCGGTGGATGTATGAACTGTACCTGATTTCTTTTGTGGTGCTTATAGATAGATATATATCATTTCCTCCCTAGTTAGCTTAGTCTCTGCCCACTGTAGATTATGTCAGTCCTTTATCTTCTTCGCGTATCTACAGATTCTCTGGAGTCTTTTATTCTCAGTAGAATTCCAAAAGGCCGAAGAACGACCAACAACCGAAATCACTGAAATAGGGACAGAAAATACACATAGACAGAGAAACCAGGGCAGTGCCCTGGGGCCTGAGGTCATCGTCCTGTGAGTGCCAGTGTAATTGATAAAGTTATATTTTGATAATATTAGAAGCCATAGCTTGTTACGTGAGTGCTTGGTTGTGCTCCATGTTTCGCGTCCACTCCTACGAACTATGAAGCCTCTGGGAGGTGGAGTTAATACCCGCAGGAACAAGCTGAATTGTGGCCAAGAGAATCTCCTGGTGCCTTTAATATATCCTACAGGGATCGAAATTCGTTTAACGACCTCTGTTCCAATTACCTACATACCAGATAACCTCTGCCACTTCTTGGCGTTCCCTTTCCGTGTTAGTGCTCAGACCTTGCCGCTTTTTGGTTGTAGCATGTGGTCATGTGACCTGCATTGCTGCCTGGTTTGTCAGGCTAGTACGTGCATTGTTTGCATGCGTTGCTTGTTTGTCTCCATATCTCCATTTCTCTCTGTGTGTAAAACATGGAAGCCAATTTCGAATATTGCTTTACAACTTTTCGAAGACATTTCAGTCATTTCAGAGCAAAGGCGCAAGTTTTGCCGAACGACATATGTGATCCTCAGCTATGTTGAGTTATATAAATGATGCTGTACATATCGCAATGGCTACTCAATTGCATTTGCGTTCTTTAAGGGGCTATTAGAGGTCTGCATTAACCCGAATTTGCGCAACTTTTTTCTGTTCATCATTCGATGTCCAAGATGATGAGCAATCTATGGTAGATTACTACTATGTGTGTGGGAGAAAGCAAAGCAAGAATTCTTAATTGCTAAAACTAATCATGCAGGGGTTTATGTACCCTACAAACCATCTGAACATTGCTCACAAATAGCAAATAGCAAACAAAAGAAGGCTCAGTCTGCAGCAAACAATCATGCATGCATGCATGGGAGTTCAACACAAGAGAACGCTGCGGGACCAAAAGTATTTTACATACACCCTCTCTTAATTCACCACTCTCCCTTAATTCACCACTCTCCCTCAAATCATCACCCTCCCTCAATTCATCACTCTCTCTCAGTCTAATGAACAGTCCCCCATTTGGAAGCAACAATTGGCATTAATTGAGGCTCAACCGCTCAAGCCAAGAAGCGCAATGATTGAATCGGTTCAGCTGCAGTGTCCTTGAAGGAAGATCTTATTGTGTCCTTCTCAACATATTCAATAGTTCCGTCACTCCACGCGTTCTCTTCGATCCAATGGATGAAGCGAGAAATCTCTTGATTAAAGAAAAGGGATATAGGGATCCACGGCATTGGTTGTAGGGAGAACCTGCTTATGGGCCGAGACTAGCCATTTGAAGACCGGCTTCTATGGATGCTGTTGCTGATTCTTCGAAGTCGGGCGGAAAAAGCAACTGACCACTGACAATTTTACCAATATGCGTCCGTCCAATCCGCTGGCAATCTTTCCTAATCTGTGACATTAGAATCTCAAGGAATTTGAGCGGGCTCTGACTGAAGCATGTCTTCGCTCCAGGGAAACCTCGTTTGATGAATCCATCCGCAGCGACAACAAGTCCGGGCGGCGTTTTCACAGATGCCACCCCCAAAAATTCACAAAGGTCCTTGTACTCGGAATATGATTCAAGATACAGCTGCCCAGAAAACAGGTTGAGGAGCATACGGAATTTATCAGGTATTTCGGTTTTGACAACATCGTCGGGGACCGTGTATAGCCTAAGTCTATCCAAAGAGGGAAATCCTCGGCTTTGGCGTGGGGCATACAAATGAAGTGTGACGACACGTGATTCTCGTATCTTGGACATCAAACCATTGGCCTCGTAAGGGCTAATGATCATCATGCGCAACTGAGGTGTTCCGTCATCGACAACATGGTTTCGACTTGTCAGGACCCATCTGACAGGACGTTGGAAAGCATCAGCAACAAAGTGTGAGCCCGGAGGAGTCTTGATGGTCCTAACGAAGTCGTTGGAAGCTAGTAGACTGGATGGGAATTGAGATATGTCCAGAAAGCAGGCGGCGGAGGTATTGCGCAGCGT